CCACCCCCCCCCCCCCCCCCCCCCCACCCCCCCCCCCCCCCCGCCCCCCCCCCCCGCCCCCCCCCCCCCCCCCCCCCCCCCCCCCCCCCCCCCCCCCCCCCCACAGCCCCCTCCCTAATCGGGATCCCTGAACGCAATATATGTCAAATTATGGATTGATTCGATTGTAGTAGCACTTGAAATAAACGCAAGCTTTTAACATTTTATATCGCTTCCGGAAAAATCTTCTTTTTGATTTTTCTCCGACTATTAATAAGAATTTTTTCGTCATCAAAGACTTACTTGTAATTCATCAAATGCTTCTTTTAATGAATTTCTTGTTCGGTTACCTTGTGTTTCATCAAGATCATTAAATGATATGCCCTTCGATAAAGCATTTTCCCAATCGTTTTCGTCTTGTAATAGATCATTGAATCGTGTTACAGGCTATAATCAAACGAGAAACGTATTCGAAGAAATCAAATGATTTTTCATATTAATACCATTGTATACTGTCGTTCGTATTGATATAATATCCCATATCGATGCCAATGATATTGTCTCAATAGTAGTTTTCGAGCTGAAAAAATGTCATAATGATTTTTAGTGTCCTTACTCATGGATTATTCTTACCTATATTATGCTGAGAATCGCCAGGTACGGTTCGTATTAATGATGGATATTTTTCTCGAGCAGCAAATAGTGAACTTGTTTCGGAATAGAACACCTTTGGAGAGGAAAAACACTGATGTTAGTCAACTAAAATCAAATTCTTACTGTGGTCATGTCATATACGCCAGCTGTTTCAGCAATAGCCGATGCTACTTTTCGACAAGAACCGCTAAATATAGCTAACGGCTTCGGAGTTTGATGTATCATGTCGAAAACCATTTTTGTTGCAATAGCCATGTCACATGGAATATCTTGTTCGTACCGTTGTATGACGAGTTCTGTATGAATAGTTTTTATTGCTTTTAAATGTTTGGTTGCATAGTCAAAAATTAAGGACGACGACGACGGCGAAGAAGAATTATTATTATAACCATCTTCGGGATTATCTCTTGTAAAGAGACCAATCAATGGAATTTGTTTCGATTTCGTTAAAGAAATCAATGAGAAAATCATATAATTATAAACGAAGCAATACCGCCGCATGGATTATATTCAATAATAATGTTGAGCATTTACATGGTGCACAATACAATATTGTAACATCAAAAATTCGATGTCGGCCATCTAGACATATATAAACATATACACACACACATATATATATATATATACTGAGGAATAAATGTATAAAAGAAAATGTAGACAAGTCTAATTATTATTGCCATTTCCTTTTTCTCGTATCAAGGTTAACAATCGCTTGTCAACGGCTATATTAAAAATTGATTGACTCAAGGAAATAGACTGTAGAACAATTTTTATCGTCATATTCTCTCTTTTGGTTAAATATTCTACCTCAATACTACGTCTGATTATCTATAGATAATCGGAAATTCAACATTCACGAATCAATCTATTGTACACGATCGAGTGTTCTGTTGCTTCCACGCTCACGACGAAAATAAATTCCATTAAAAGGAATTCAAATATCATTGATTCAATAATGAGTTATGAATAGTACAGCAAAATGCATTGAATTTTCGTCATAAATTGATTCGCCTTCAATCAATCAATAGCACTATCGAATAGAAGAATAATAAATGAGAATGCATATACATCATACGACAAAAATGTCTTGAAAATCCATTCAGCAGTTTTTTTGCTCCTACTTCTTTATATAAAATTAATTGATCAACAAAAAATGATAACACTGGATCAGATTTTCATTACACTCACCATTTCTCTCAATTGTAGAAAACAAAAAATGATTCTTGTTTTTTGTGTTTTTGCCAATAAGAAAAAAAATAACCTAATTCCAATATATCGATGCTATCTGTTTGCACTAGAACAAAGACGAATGTATCATTCGTTCTGTTCTCGTTCCCACGAGAAGTGACATGTATTTTTTCTCAAATTGAATTAATTCTAGAACGTTGCCGACAAACAGAGATTCGTAGTTATATTACAGAAGCCAACGAAGAGAAATAATTACAAAGATGAGAAAAACATCATCATGTCTCAACTTTCTTATTGCATCGATTCCGTAATTAGATACAAACTGAATTAGATCCATTGAAAGATTGACAGTTCTTCCTTTTCTTTTCTATTAAGCTATGAAAAATCGTCGACGAAGAAAAAAAATCGTTTTATTTTATTAGAACTATCTTTATTCAAGTAAAAGAATACGAACAAAACAACGCCAATAAACATTCAAACGGGCGATAGATTATCTGTTAAAAATACAAGTACACCACTAAAATGTGTATATGTATAACCGTATATATTATTCCGAGGAGCCGTTTGTCCTGAATCATTTGGATCACCAAGAGCTTCGGCCACGATCTGATCATTAACATCTAGCTCAGCATAGACCGATGCTCGAACATGTGAAAAACGCCGTCGACAATCACATCGAATCATACCAAGTACATTATTTCTATTATGTAAAATACGTACAGTAGCCTAAAATGTATTAAATCACAAAAAAAATCTTTCTTTCGCTATAAAATAAACTTACAATTGAATCCATTTGTGCCATAATTGTAATGCTGAATTTATAGATACCGCGATAAGCAGCAGTAAATATACCTGTTGCTTGATTGTAACAATTGCCTTCATTAATATCAGTTTTCTCGAAAATAATAGGTTCTGAACGATTGGACTCGATGGAAAGCATCTTTTGAAGATAAGCTACAAACGCTACGATTGGTACGACTTGTTTTGATCGGCCCATCTCACCTAAGTCGGACAAAAACAAATCATTCAATTGTTAAGAATTAATAACAATCAGTATACCTTGACGTCCAACAGCACCTCGTGGTCCAGCATTGCCTGGTGGACCAGTCTTACCAGGCGGTCCCGGTGTTCCATGCATTGCTAAGAAGCTATCAACACTAAAACGACGATTACGACTATCGTGATCAAAAGGAGCTGTCAAAAGAAAAAGTGTCACCAATTAATTTCGAGACAAAAAACGAATCTACTTTACATAGATTAGGTACAGTAGGACATCGTATTGTTAGATGGCACATATTACTATCATCGTCATTCCCATTGGTTGTTTCATTATCATAAATATTTTCGCTCGTTGGATGTCGTGAATAATGTTTATACGGATAGTATTGTGTTTGTACGTGCTCGAAAAAATGCAATACAATTAAGATTACTAAGAAAAAATTCGTCATCTTTTATATAATAAAATAAGTCCAATTTTTGAATAATCTTGATGAATGATTTCTTTTTTTTCTGTTAATAATGTTGTTTTGAATGCACGTAGTTAAATCAATAGTATTTCCTGTGGTCCTTTTTCTCTCCTCTCTCTATCTTTCCATCTCTCTCACTCTCTTCACAGCAATACTATACTTTTGTTCTAGAGCCTATGCACGAAGTTTAAAGAAAAAAGCATTATTGATAGGCACCCGGTTGGATGACTTTTTTTTCTTGTCATTCTCCTTCTATTCTTCTATACCCTTGTTTTTGTTGTTATTATTATTACTTTGCTGTTTACAGTCGACTTTCACGTTGCAAGATATATCAAGCTGAACGTGTGTCGGTGTTACTTTTGCTCACTATGATTTGTGTTCGTCTTCCGTTTCACGGAATGCATCGAGAAGTATGCGGTGAAAAATGAGGCGTTTTTGTCCTTCGTCTTCCCGATAGAATTTAGAATCAAAAGTGCGAAGCGTTGGAGAAAAATCAACGACACCGGAAATATAATTTAAATACAAGAAGCAAATAAAAATATTTTAATATTATTAATTATTCAAGGGAATATACAAAGAGAGAGAGCGGATAATTGCCAGAAGTAGAACAGAGGAGAAAAAAGAAATGACAGAAATAATTACTTTATCCTCAGTGTCACGAATAAATCTGATTATGCCTTGACTTCCCAGTATCGTTTGTTTTATTAGTAAGAATTATTCACTAAACCATGCGGAGAGAAAATATTATTGACATTTCTCGAATCAAATCCTTTGATTTTCTATTATTATTAATTGCGTTTTACACATCACTGCGATAAACTATTCTTAAGAAATTCGAGTTGATTTTTAATTGAGTATTCAATGTCAATATTTAGTAAAAACGCTTCAACGATAGACAGACATGCGATCGAGTGTAGAAACCTCGAAAGTGAAATTCAGCACATTTAAAAATAGAATTTTAGAATGTAGTTCAAGACATCTGTACTCGTGAAACGTATTTTAAAACAAAGGAGATAATCATAAACATTAGGAAAGCAAATGATGAGTCCTCTCAAACGCATGAAAATTAACAAGAGAAGAAGCTCTAAGATGCATCGTATTTTATTTATCAACATGGCAACGATAGCTACTTGATTAATATTAGTTCAAGATTAAATATTTACAAGGATTTATTCGGCAGTGGGCTGTATAGCTGAGCTATTGTTGTCGTTTTCCGATACTTTTTCGATAGTAAATCGAGTTGAAAATTTATTCATTCGTTTACGTGAGCCATTCCTCACTGTCATCACTGATAGAATTGGATTTTGTTCGCATACAACAAGTCTCGCATCTGGTCTTGTCGTTGGTACTGTATCGATTTGTGATGGTATTGAAGCAAATGGCTCTCGATTATTAACTGTTTGAACATCATTCTCTTTACGTATTGACGTAATTCGTCTATTGACAAATTTTGTTGGGTCGAATTTATTAACATTTGACGAAAGATCCAATGACGGCAACAATGAATCATCTCGATTTCGTGCGTCTATTCGATGAATATCCGCTAATTTTCTATTAATCCGACCGATAGTTGCACTATCGGCTGTAATCGTTTTATAATAACGTGGATGTGGCTCATTCTGTTTTTCTTTTGACGAATAATATATTTTCCATAGACGCTGCCGTCTATCGGGATCCTTTAATTCATTAAGAATATGTTTTTTTATATGATCGGCTTCAACATTATGATAATTACCAAATGCATGTAATGAACATGATTTTGATTTATCACTCGGTTGATAATCAAGTAAAAATTGACTATCGTATGTACGCGGGCGTACTTGAAGAAATAACATTAATGCTAAACCTGTTGAATACCAAACTAATATAACAGCGACATAGATAGCAGCGCCTTCATAATCATAACCATTTACTGTTGCATTTCTAGTTATTGTACTAGTCAAAATAGTAGAATTCAACGATGTTGAAACCAGAGTCGGCGTCATTTCATTCTCTTAAAAAAGGAAAACAATGAAATTCTTAATACAGAATGTTTCGAAGCGTCGTCGCGATAACATTTTCATTAGAATGTAATAAATGTCAATCCTCTGGTATCACAAGAAAAAAAAGGAGGCCATACATTTCAATAAAGAACAATAAGATCAATCAGTTTGTCACACGCGGCGTAAAACTTAGTTCCAAAATCTAACGTCGCTCTATGAGAACAAAAGCAATTCAGTTACCTGGAAAGCTCCCGGATACACGATTGCAAACAGAAGAAAAAAACACCACGTTGAAGTAAAGAGTTTGCGCTATTCAAGCATTTCTTTCTTGTTTTAAATTGATTTCTTTTTTGTTTCATGTACAGTTGCTTCTCTTTTTTCTTTCTTATTTTTAATGTGCGTACTGTATGTAGAAAAGAAACAGAAGTTTCTACTCTCGTTGATTTTGTCTTTTTTTTTACAACTTAGATTTTTTATGACATTCGTAGTTGATATTTTGTTTTTCGATCGTTAATACATCGATAGGATATGCGACTTTTGCACTAAGATGAAACGTGTGAATATGTTTTTTCTGATTTTCATTGCTTTTGTTAATTTTTATGGGCCCTCCTATGCGTCAGAAATATTTACATTATTCGAAACTAGCTTCGGTAAAAAATTTGTACGCTTTATTATTAACTGTTCGCACACAATTGAATAAATAGACACAAGAACAAAACAAAATTCAATTTGATTGCTGCGATTCAAGAAGAATATTCGCTATGTCACTATTTATTGCCATAGCTTTTTCTATTGGTGTCTGTTCGTCAATATCTTTCAGAGTCAAATCAGCTTTATAATGAAGTAAATGACGAACAGCATCAATGTTATTGAACGTAATAGCTCGATGCAAGGGTGTTGATTTCGACGCTCGCGTTTGACAATTAGGATCAGCACCATGTTCAAGTAGTAAACGACAAATATCTGCCGGTTGAAAACGAACAGAATAATGTAACGGTGTATAACCACTTGAATCGCATTGATTGATAGTTTTAGGATTTGCCGATTTTAATCGTTCCCGAGCTTCATCAATATCATTTTGTTGTGCAGAAGACCAAAGACCACGACGAAAAGCAAGCTCATCGAGTGTTTCATAGACACTGTTGCTTATATTCGATGATAAATGGCAGCTACAGTCGCCATGCGGGAAATGATCAGTCATTTTCTTAAAGAAAATCTATTTATTCATCTATCTGACCAAAACATGTCAGTTAATTTTCATTTTTTGTTTTTTTTGAAAATCAACTTTTCACTCAAACACAAATTATCTAACAGAAGTCGGAAACAAAAAAAATTGCATTAAAGAGAAAACAAAAACAGTGAAGCCAAAAACAAAAAAGACATAATCTGACAATATGGCGTATTAACAAAAGAAAAAAAAGCACAAATGCTTAATACAAATAAATTATTAAGTTAAATGATAAATTAAGACTACTAACAAAAGAAAAAGGGAATAGCAAAAAAAAAGGAAAACAGCTAGACAATTTTTTTTATCGCATTCGATTGAGTCCATTTAATTTCGAGTCTGGATTTCTTACACATTTCGCTTTAGCAAATACATTCCAAAATCGAAGAGTTTCATCACCAGCACCTGTTACAATAGATTCGCCATCTGGACTCATCGCCAAATAGAGAACACGTTGTTGATGACCAAACAATTTCGCTAAGGGCTGCATAACCGGATATTTCCAAACCACAATTTGATTTTGAGAATAACCATGTGTTGATGCAAGTTCATTAGGAGAATTTTTCGACCATACTAATTGACATACTTGAGAGCCTGTATCGCACACATTCAATGTTTGACATGTTAATGATGAACGAAAACGTATGTGTCGATCAGCTGTGCCGCCGCCCGATGCCATCAAACCATGTTGATGCGGCGACCATGCAATGGCTTTAACAGCAGCTAAATGATCATTGAATGAATGTAATGGTTGTGCTGGTTGACTTTTTGACCAAAGAAATAGACGATTGTCATTTCCACCGCTGGCTAATATAGATTTATCTGGTGACCATTTAAGACCGCACACTTCTTGCGTATGACCATGAAATACATGTACAGCTGATTGTTGACGAATTTCATGTTCAATTATTGAACGATCACGCGAACCAGAACATAATGCCCAATCATTCCAAGCTAATGTACCAACACGACTGGTATGTTTACACATTGATTGTAAACGTTTTTGAGTTGTAACATCGTAAATATGTACATGACCACGATTAGTACCTGAAATGAAAAGATATAACTTCGGTCAGATGCAATTGTTTTCTACAACTGATACTTACCAACAGCTAATATATTCGACCAATCAGCCCATGCTACCGATGTAACTGTATCCGATCCGACGATACTCGATTGACTACCGCTTCCTGATGGTAATTGTGTATGTGTAAGATCGCATAGAAGTTGAACATTATTCGACTGAGCATTACATAAATATACACACGCTCCTAAGCCAACACTTAGAACATTCGACGATGACCAATCGATTAAATTCAAATAAAAATCATCATGTAAATCTGGTGCATCCAAGACTTTGTACGGAACTTTAGGTATACGTCGAATGGATTTCTTCGGCGAATAAAGTAAATGAACAGATGCATTTGGTAGAGGTGAACGTGTAAAATGATGTTTATTAATTAGTGATGATGTTGATGTAGAATTTTCTACCCGTTCACAATAACGAAATATTGGTGTTGATGATAATGATACCGATGAATTTTCTTTGTTTATGGAAGATTTTTTTGTTGATACTGTTTTACAATTTTCTTGATTATTCATATTTTGTACATCAGACATATTTAAAATTGAATCCACGTTGGTATTCAACAGAGTATTTTGTAATAATTGTCGATAGACAGCCAAATCGGTTTCACTTGCTGTTACACCAGAACCAAGACCAATTTGATTATGTTCATATTTACGTTTTTTATTTGGTGATGTTGGACATGTTTGATTGGGTGACGTAGCTGTTTGGGTATTTATTTGATAGTGAAGATTTGATACGGTTAATGAAGATCGAAATGGAATGTATCGATCACTTGTTTTAAGCGGTGATTGAAGTGGACTTTTGAATGGCGATAAAGATTGCAATGAGCTTTGACCGTTCATTGAAAGGAGAAGACGACGCTCGAAATGAGCATCCATGTTTAGGTTTTTCGAAGGAGAGAAACAAAAGAAATGAAAATGAAATAAATAGAAAAAAATTGACTAGACTACAGATCTAAAAGATTGAAAGAAGTCGTTGTTCTATGTTCAACAACGAGTACCGTATTGAACGGTGATCTATGGGAAGAATTATCCGTTAGGCAGGTCTTTGTCTTCGCAGACAAAGAATGTTCAAGAAGAAAGGACTAGAATATTAACCAATGTAAAAGATACAATCAACCTTCTTAGAAAAAAAACTCAGAAATTAATGATTAATAAATTAGTTAAAGTAATGAGTATTAGAAAGAAAAAATAAGTATATTGTAAAAGTTGTCGAAAGATGTCGCACTATTTTCTAGTGGTGGTAATTCTATTGATGTCTGAGTGCTGTGTGCTCAAGTTATCGATGTAATCATTGATTGGATTTTTTTTAAAGAGTTGAGCGTGCGAATATTTGTATACGCCCTAAGAGAAAATTGAATAAAACGGATGTGATTGTTTGAGTATTAACGGGCAGAGAATCCATTATAGCCTAAAAAAAAGATCAGAGTTCAATTAAGATAGTGAACTATTCAAATATTACAATTTTTGTATATATTTTCAACGAATATATTATTTTAAAGCGTAACACAGTGATTGAATTAAGATGGAATGGCGAAAGTGCATAATACTAATGTTAATTATTTCAGTTAATCAAAATTTTTGTAATAAAGTGAATGATTGGTTTTGAAATTTAGTGTAGAACAGAATTTTTCTAGACATGTGATAAGTAATTGATCAACTTATTTTAGGCTAGCGTGTGCAACTAGCCGCACTAAATACGATAATATGAATGAATCAATTTTTTTTCCTTCATTGTGTAATGATATTGTTTGGTATTCATCTCCCTTGGATTAAGGTTTTGCAGCATAGTAAAGGTGGGTCGAAAATATTCAATATGGGCATAGATAACGATGATCACGATACGCTAGCACGGCGATAAAAAGCAAATCGATAATATTTCTTCTAGGTTGGTCTTCGTTTGCGGTAACCGTAGAAAAAGTTCTTCTCGTATCAATCAAAAAGTAAAATACACAATGAGTTCGACAAGGTATTCGAAGCGTTTATTTTCAACTGACTGTTATGTAGATGCAATTCAGTACGAATTAAAAGAATAGTCATAGGGATAAATGAATCGCTGAGCTTTTTCTTTCTTTTATTGTTGTTGAACTTATTCTTATTTGAAACTACTTATGTTTTGTAGTTCTCGTCTCATGGACTTTTAGATAATTAGTTCAGCTTGAATTTATTTATTTTTATTTCCAACAGAGTGATAACTGTTTCTTAATGTCCCGAGAGGTATTAGCTAAATGTTAGCGAATGAATTACGAATGTGATTGCACGATATTTTTCACTCAATTTGTTTATCAGCTGTATGAAAAATTATTCAGTACAATAAAAAAATCATTTTAGTTTATGAATACAGTTTTTCTTTGATGACATGATAGTGTATCTTTTTTTATTTCAAGTAAGACATTATTTTTTCATTTTGTTTCCCATACACCATGAATTCTCGAAAATTATACAATCCTTTCACCCTCAGTCTCTGCTCATCGAATATTGTGCATGTGATGCATATTGTTTTCTTCGTAGAGTAGCTTCGATTTTAACGATGTTATTGAGTTATCTTGTTTTTTCAGGACTTGTCTATCTGTAAGTGAGAAAACACAAGTGTGCGATTTATTAGAGACTTTTAAGCACATTTCTTTATTTCTTTCGCTTTATTTTATCTTCTACGCGTTGAACATCATTTCTACTCTTTGATACGTTCGGATGATTAACTGGCAATGCTGCTTCATAGATAATCTGTGACTTCTTCAGTAACTTCAATGCTTGCTCTAGTTCACCTTCATCTTCATATACCAGACCCATGTTCTTGTAGGTAACTGCAATATCAGGGTGTTGAGCAGGAAGTGCTTTCAAGCTGATTTTAATGGATAGATCATAATACTCCAGTGCAAGATCATAATGACTGAGACTTCTATGGACAGCACCCATATTGCTGTACAACGAACCTAAATGAGGATGATCAGCTGGGAGATGATTCTTCCAAATAGCAAGCGACTTCTCATAAAAGTCAAGAGCTTCTAAATAACTCTTCTCCTGTCTACAAATGAGGCCAATGTTGTTGTAAAACATGGCCATCTTCGGGTGATTTTCATCATGTGCTTCTTGGAAAAGTGACACAGCTCGATTGTACGATTCAAGTGCTCGAACATTATCACCTTTGTTTCGATGAGCATTACCAATGTTGTTGTGTGCGTTTCCAATATTCACATAATCGGATGGACGAGTTTTCATCATCCTTTCGAGTGATTTCTCATACCATTCGAGACTACTGTCATCATCACCTTTCGAGTTAGCAACCAGGCCGAGACGTTGGTACAAAACAGAAAGTGAACAATCATTCGATGATGGTTCACTCAGACATCGACGATAGTACTTTTCGGCAAGATCAAATTTGCCCATCTTCCACATCAGATAACCAAGCGACATGAGATTCGTCTCCTTGCTGACTCCGTATTCGTTCTTCATGTGATCATACAATTTTTTAAGATCATTCTCATCATCACTGCATAATCTCATTCGAATAATCCATACTCTCGTATCGCCTAAAGAATCATCTCGACGAATTGCTTCCAAACGAAATATTGAGCCAATCATAAACAATATCTCCGCTTCTTCGCCGTAATAACTAAATTCATCTATTTGTGCAAATGGTCGTCGATTATCAACCTTCGTATCACTTATCAAACGAGGATCAGCCTCAATTTCAAATATCACACCTACACGATCATCAGAACTACACGATCCTATACTTTGTCCTACAAATCTTTCAGCTATTTTACGATTCAATGATGTCGATAAGAATGAATTTAATGATATTATATTTCCAATTGATGCTCGCAATTTTTTCATCTCATTACCGGATATCATTTGACCACGATAAACAATCACGCGCTTCTCACATTGATTTACACGCAACTGCTCATAAACATCACGAATAATATTTCGCATTAAAAATATCATCTCCACGTTACGTACACGCAACGCCTTGTTTAGTAAACGATAAACAAACGAATCACGTGTATACCACCATATAGCACAATTAGAAGCATATTTACTAGCAAATTCGTGCACCCTTCTTAATTCAGCTTCATTACCTTTGTATTCTGTTTTTAATAATTCAATTAATTCATTTTGATCTTGTTCACTCGGCTTCATTCTAATTAATACGTCGATCAGCAATTGGGAATGCAAAAAATCCCCATTAAGTTCTGTTGAACTCCGGTCCAAAATGTCAATGCCCAGTGATTCTTCATTTCTACTTCGATGTTTTTGATCGACTCGAATTACATCGATCAATTCATCCAGTTTATTACAAACAGCTTTTACCTACAACAAAATAACAATATACGCAACGCATTCGAAGAAGAACAAGCGCATACTTTGCTGAATGAACGACTCCATTCTAAATTTGCCTCCTTATTGAAGCAATAAATGTAAATCGAACACATTTCTTCTAATTTCTGCATTTCAGGAACTACAATACGCCCTAATCGACCACTTACAATTAGAATTGTGAGATCACCCTGTCGAATGAAGCCAACATCCTTCATAAATTCTTCGGGATCGATAAAGGTTCGTAGCTGATTTACTATACTTCGTAATTTCTTTTGAGCATCCATATTTTCTTCACTGTTAACTGAAGCATCTAACCAAACGATGCTATATGTTTCCAAATCGTTGTTGTTTATGCTCATTTTAGTCGTTGCCGATGTCATTTTTGTTAACTTACATGTTTCAATTTGTGCGTGTGTCTTGTCGAGTGTTTTTCTCCTGCGTTTGCAATTTGAATGATCTTAAGGTGTTGGTAAATGCTTTTATTTAAACAAACACGTACGATAAGAAGATCTTTTTCTTACTTTTACGTTTTCTTTCCTGTTCACATTCAGTTGCTTTTTTTCTTTTCACTCTCACTCATAGCGTGTGAAAAACAAAACCATCATCTCTCTTTTCAATTCTTTCTTGCATAAAAGCGAAGTGAATATTCTTTCACCGAAACAGAAATTACTTTTATTTTTTTCCTTCTGTGAACCGAACTTGGCTCATCTGTAGATTTCATTTCAGTAAACAACACTACGCTCTTTACATGATTGTTTTTGACTGTGAATGCGGATCTGTGGATGTTGATGAAGAAATGCTCGCACCCCAATGTTAATGCACAAGCTACAAAAATTGTCCATAGAATTAGTTTACAACGTTGCCTCAGTCATGCATACTATTGAACTGCAGTCATCAGAACTGAATCATGTGTCGAAAAGAAAACACAATTCACACCTTGAAAACTTTCTGTAATGGTTTCTTATTAAAGAGACATTGCCTGGATAGAATTATCTTTATTTATCTTTTTTCCACGATCTAAGAACAATGTTTTCATCCATTAACATGCGTTTTTTATACAGCATCAAAAAAGATAATCAGAAAAATACAATTGGAAAGGACAACGCATTATATTATATAATGAGAAAGGATAAAGCATGTGATGATACGAAAAGGACAATATCTATAAGAATAAGAAAGCAACACGGAAAATCTAATTCAATCGAGCTGTAGGAGTCTGCAATGTCATGCTACAGACTCGGTGGCGAACGTCAAATTGACGAATATTTTTAAGGATATTTCATCAGTTTTTCCATAATACACCCTCTTGCATGTCATGTTTATTGTGCTATGATTATTGACAATACTGCATGATTAGTCTACTTCTTCCGTAGGTTGTGCTACGTTTGGCAGAATTTGAGGGGCGGCAGCTGCGTTGTTTTTAGCACCATAGATAACGTATGCAGTTGGTACATACGGCCTGGCACGCTCAATATGTTCAATTGAGTCATCAAAGAAGATTGCTGGATCGATGGCGCACAAGAAAGGCGTCTTGTCTAGCCCACCCACGAAGTGTTTTTCGTCAATTTTGAGTTTCCATTCTGTTAGAGTGCGGAACAGTCGTTTGGTAACTACATGGTCCCGAGCAGTGACCAAGAAAGTACGCAGCATCGCCCTATTGTCCTTTCCAAGTTCTTCTTGTATTTCCTGAAGCTTCATAGCAAACATGTGCATCGGACCTTTTGGCAACGGAATATCCTTTTTATTTTGTTCATTTTCTCGAAAAGCGTCCAATCCGCCTCTTTGATAAACGATTTCCGCTTCATCAGAGAACAATACACCATCTCCATCAAATACGATACGAAGTTGACCTTCTGGCCATGGAGATGACTGCGGAGATACAGGCACATTGTTGTCAAGCGTAGTCTTGTTGTTGTCAGAAGTCTCTCTATAATCAACAATATATCGGCTCATTATAGGTATAATAAACTTCTGAACTTACGGCAAATTGAACTTAGTAGATGCCGTTTCGTTAATCGGCGGACAAACTAAACCAGCTGCTATTCCTTTAAATGCATCCGATCCAGTTGTCGACAATACTTTACGCACTTGATTTTCTTCAGTGGAGAGGAAAAGGTCGCATTTCCAAGCTGAAAGATATCTGGTGACATCGGTGCCACCAGTAAATGACATGCGCATAATGCAAAGATTGTGATGAGTGATGGAGTTTCGCACTCGTTCTCCTGACTCTCCATCATTACGTGATACGAGAACGACATCAATCAGCTGTTTACCAGTTGCTTTGTTCAAGTCCAATAGAGATCGGACTAATGGAAATCCAACCCCAGGTTCAAGAGGTACCTTGATATTGGCACACTGATACGCTTGATAGGCTTCAAGTCCTTCATTCAACCATATTTCGTGAGACGCGCTGCAGTCAAAGAGTGCAGTAGATGTAATACAGACAACCAACTTGAAGGATAGTGGCATGTTGATAGTAGTTCTACAAAGACTTTAAGTATGATTTCTCATCAGCGTCCGAGGATACTTAATTAGCTATTAATGTAGAAGATGTAGGAGATGTATGGGATATTGGGAATATTAGGATCTGAATGCCGTGAAAGGCGGATACAGTGTATATCAGAGAGTGAAAACGAACCGAACCGAACTCAATTCAGAAAAAGTGGGTTCTATTCGCTCTCTGCTGTGGTTTCTCTTTATTATTAAAAAGAAAAAAATTCGGATAATGGTGATAGTACATGGAACAAGTATTTTGTGCTCTCAAGTTCACATTCAATTTCAATAGCGTAATGTTATATTGACGGCACAACATAGTAGCAATTAATCGTACTTCATATTATAAGGTTTCTAATTTTTCTGTACCATTCAGCTGTCCTTGAACACATAAAAGCATGGATGATGATAAACAGATGACTCATAAATAAAATCTTCATCTAACTCAGTCTACCTATAAAAAAAACTATGCTATCTGTAATGAAAGGAATTTTTCGTAGAAGAAAGAAGAACAAAAGTAAACCGCATATTCTTATTCTATTTCCCGCCATAAAATTCATATAGCTATCAGCAAAACAGAAAATACAAAAAATTAATTAATATCATTCTTCGCGTGGAGTGTTAGTCAAATACCTACTAGGCCTAACTCAAGAAAAAAAAATAAATATACACTTATCTATTCAATTTTTCTCCTGAGATTCAATGCAATCATTGTTGAAATTACTAGAGCAAGAAAAAGTCAAATAATTCAGTTTATTACAGTACGATATTCGAAAACTATCAGATTGAGTAAATAAAATGAAGTAGATCAAAACGTTTTTCTTTTCTTCAGACTCTACTACAAAAAAAGTCAGGATTAATAGAAGTTAATGAAGACAAAAAACGGGAATCTGAAAGTTGAGCACGAGGACAGATGTGCACGGAAAGATAAGCACAGAAAGTTAAGCACTGGAATAACAAGCACCGCTAAAATGAGCACAAGAAAGTTAAGCACGAATAAACAAAATTCATACAGATACAGTGTATTGATTGACCCAATAAATTTTTTTACATTCTATTACAGAGAGTGGGTGTCACTAAAAGGTAAAATAAGAAATTATTACATAAAAAATATTTATCTTAATATCTTAAAACAATTTATGCTTAAATATTAATATGAAAAAATCTGCTGTACGGATTAATATGTATTCTTTTTAAACATGAATATATATGTATGTAGGTATTTAAAATTTAAATGAAATATTCAAAAACAAAATTAGGCCAGTTAGATAAATATTTACAGGACGACTTTTCCAAAATTATTCTCAACAAAAATTATAAAATTTCTTTTTTCATATCAATTGTACAAGACACATCCTTGTGCTTTTAAAACTAACTATTCGACCAGAAACTAACAACATGCTAGTTATATACTATCAGTACCTAAAAAATGTGGCACAAATGAGCGATTATATTATCCATGTTTGAGGTCCACTCAAAACTTACTTGTTTCTTAAATTCTTAGCCCGCTCTATTATTTCTCGAAATTAAAATTAATTTTGTACATATATATAAATGAAAAAAAGACACGCTTTTATGCATAAATTTTAGTATTTATATTTATCAAATGAATGTATATATATATATTCATATGTACATTTGAAGAATGTAGAATGGTAGAGAATGCTGTCTTTTGTTTTCAAGAATGATGTTTAATGATTTGGAAAGCATTCATTACTTTCAAGAGTTCATTCTTAGACATTCTGTTACAGAACATGAGAGAACACGATCTCCTCAAAATGGAACTCAATCCTGACCTTTCACAAATAGAATGAAAAGAAAATCATTCTGATAGTGAATGGAATACGGGTTAGAAGGCTTTCTATTCCGATGAAGAAAGATTTTTGAACTAGATAGAAAACATTCCATAACAGTATGAAACGTTGACGAATGCATTCACTCAGATGTTGAACGAATTCTTTTCAGTAATGATCACATTCGTCAGCTTATAGAACGCGTGCTTCATGAAAAATATAGCTTTCCCTATTCTGATGCATGCATTCCTTTCCGTTTTTTCTATTATTATTTTTCACTGGGCAGTGCTTAACTTTCCGTGCTTAACTTTCACCAATCCCAAAAAAAAACTTCTAATATTCTAATTACATTTCGATCATAAAATGCGCATAAGGTTGTAGAATAATTGAACAAATGTAAAGATAACTGCGCTTTCCGTTTCTTCCTGAATAAAACAAAGCGATGCGAAGTAATTTGATTGTTTTTCTAAAAAATGCAGGATCATTTTCAGAATAACAAAACCATGAATGAATAAACTTAAAAAACAACCCTCTTCCATCTTTACCAAAACATTATAAGGGATATTTAGAATAACTAAATATAAAAAAGAAATAAGAAGTGGTTTTTCTGCTGTTTCTTGTATACGATGCGCGGTAATTATCGGAATAAGTAATATAAGCAAGACGTAAAAATAGGGTTCTCAGTTTCTCTGATGGAAAAGAGTTAAAGTATTGATGAAGTTAAATGGATAACAGTAAATTTAAGTATTTTCTGCTTTCCCGATAAAGTTCACGATCACTACGAGCGTAACTAAGCGGGAAAGAAAAAAGTAAAGTTGCAACAATCGATTCATTTTTTGCGCGACGATGCAAAGTTACCGAAGCAAAATAACTTATGAAAACAAAGAAGAAAAAAGAATTCGACCATTGTATTCCTCAAAAACAAACTGCAAGAATTGTCATGCGAACTAAATAAAGAAAAAAAATGAGAGTGAATCAACTGTGAGTATGAGAGTATGAATGTCGCTGTCGATGTGCTTTGTATGTGTGGGTGTAAGTGAGGGTGGTTCTGGTGCGGGATGTCGGCGTTGGTCCCGATCATTTCTTCATCAGCCACACCCAGAATGACACTTAATCATACCAACACTCTCACCTGAACAGTCATTGTTTGTGTTCGATTGGGCCTATGCGTATGCCTTTTTCGATTGTTTTTTTAACTTGTATTTTTCTCCTGCGTTTGCGGTTCGAATAATCTTGCCGTTTTGTTAAATGCTTTTATTTAAACAATTAAATGCGACAAGACCTTTCTCTTATCTCTACCATTTCATTGCTATGAATAAATATTGCGTTACTCTTTTCTTCGCTTTCCGCTGAACGATATCAGAAAAGAAAACATCACTGCTCTCTTTAATTCTTTCTGGATTGAAAGCCAAAAACCAGCATTCTTTCACCGAAACAACAATTGCTTTTACCTTTTTTCGCCCTGTCGATTAGAGGTCTGCAGTTTCACAAAATATTGAACCGGAACCGGCCATTAAAAGTTACTCAGGAACCGCTAAAGGAACCGTGGAACCGGTTTTTTTATATAATCACTTACATTAAGTTTTTTGTCAAGTTACTATTGAAAAAGAAACGATTTGCAATTCATATCAGGCGTGGTTCTATACTGATCTTGAAGCGGAGATACAAATTTTGTGGTCAGCAACATCAGCAAGCATGGTCAATATCCCACATATTGTATATCATAACCACACATTGATAGGTAAACGGTTCCACGGTTCCGGGTAATTTTTGAAACCGCAGACCTCTACTGTCGATCCTACCTCAATTGTCTGTAGTTATTACTTAACTAAACAACAAAGCCCAGTTCATGTACTTCATTTTTCCAACTTCACTGAAAACTCACTGTAGACTCCACACGATGCACGGAAAACTTTCTCTACTTGAAATTCAATCCAAACTCATTGTTTTCACATCGTTAAGATTTTTCCTAGCTCGATGTACTATTAGTTTATCAAGAGCATTTTCATTCGATCTCTATAAATATACGCACAACAGAAAATAGTAGCGAGTTTTACTGCTTGAGATTTCTGTTCGTAATAAAAAAATATCTCATCCATACATTGAGTGGGATTAAAGCTATTTAAAGGATGATATGATTCACTGCGCTAGCCATTTAGTGAAAAATATATGGATGCATCGCTCTAGTAGAGCAAGTTTCATGATTGAACAAGTTGAAATGCGTCGACAAAGTAATAAAAATAGAAATAAGTTGGATGATAAAACAATGGTAACGAATTCGCGTTGAAAGATCAGTTAGATCGAATCAATGCAATGATGTGCACAATCAATGAAACATGTCAAAAATAAAGGATTCATTTCGTGCTGAGCAAACTGGTGGTTTATGAAAAGTATTGTAAGGAGCAATGATTGAACGTTTCATAAACTAAGACTCACAACTCGTCGTCGGATCATCTATCGTCTCTGCTCTTTTTTGTCTTCCTTGCTAATATATATATATATATCATGCTTATCAGTAGGTGATGTTTTCTCCTCGTTCTTCTTCTTTTACATTTTCTTTTTTCCTATCTTCATTTTTTTCTCTCTCTTCTTTTCTTCCCCTTATTGCTGTTGAGCTTTATTATTATTTTTATTTTTGAAAGGATAAGAATGCTAAAAATGTTCAAGGCTGCCATGAGCTTTTTTCGTTGTCCAGTTCTTTCAACACTTTTCTTCGTGGATACATTGGGTTTTTTTTTCAAACTCAATTGTCCCTTTAGGACCATCAGGCCCATAGGACAAACAAAGGCAAAGTAAAAAAAAGAAGCTATCTCTCTACTTCATATGCGGATAAGAGAAAAATAACTTCAACAGTTAGTTCATTTCGACATAGAAGACTAAATTGATTTGATGAACATTTTCTTGGTTATTTTTGCGACGGTGCTCCTGATAGATTTTTGATAAATATTCTAATAATACGCTCCCACTATCATCACTCATGAAATTTACCATTGTAATATAACTGATGAATCTGTTCGAACAAGATATTTATATTTGTTTGAGATCTATGCTGAATTTGCAGCTTCCAATTGAAAAAATAATTGCATCTTCCCAGGTCGAGGTTTACGGAGTCCATATACGATCGTAAAAGGTCGTGTACGCTCCATTTGTCTGCGTATACGGTCGTAAACGACCCTCTACGTACCAAATGTTACAATACGAAATTTGGAAAAACATGCATCGCATGTAAAAAATCAATACCAATCAGAAATAAAGTAAATTAGAGATGTACAGGATAAGCTGAGAAAAATTCTCTAGTGCTTATTAATTTGCCTATTTTAGTATGCCACGAATGGCGAACAATACTGACATCAAACTTGTTTTGTTTGTACAATGTGTAAAAACGTTTTAAGTACTTTTAAACATGATGACGATGGAAATCATTATTGTCCAATTTGTTATGAAGATAAATATGCTTCGAAGTGCACTGCGTGTCTGAAAGCAATCACAAAAAGTTAGCACAATTTTCATCTTTTTTTTTTGTTAAACATACACACCATCGATTTCTCTAGGTTTACTTTATGTGGAAATCGAAGGACAGCTATTTCATGAAGATTGTTTTCGATCTTATATGAAAACAAGCGGTAAAAATTAGACGATGGTTATATTCCGAACGAGGATCAATTTTTTTTGTGCAGAATGCTATCAAGAAATCATATCAACAGTATGCATTAATCAGATATATGAATAAATAAAGTTTCTTTCACTACGGCTTTTCAGCACCCTCATCTTTACTAGTTAATTCGTTTATACGATTATGTTTATTTCTAGGAAAATTTTTCTGATACATTTACGTTCCCTAGTTTAATAAATAGGTAAGTATCATGAACAAAGATTCGAATGACTACGATTTGTTTTTGTATTAGTGATCTATTACGTGTGGAAGAAATAAACTTGAAATCCATAGCACACAATCAGATAGAACTGAGTTAGAATCAGCTGTTGAATTATTTGTCCAAGAACTTATCATTCCAAAAGTTCAGCATAAAAATTCATCGATTTCGAACATCGAGCAAACACAAGCTGTATTACATATGTTTCCAAACGTTGTAATAAATGCCAAGATTCATCATGGTTCGATTGCATTGACAGCTGGTGACTTAGGCACACAAAATGTCAGTCCTTAAAATATAACAGCAGACTATAAAATTTTCTCTTTGATATTTAGGTCGACGTCGTTGTTGTATGTTCAACATCAGAAATACTTTTAAAAAATATTCTAGATCAAGCAGGGTTAGAAATCATTGAAGAATATGCTCATGTCGTCTCTTTTTTATCAACTGTGCCGCAGTTACGCGTAACTATGACGTATTGCTCGTAGTGAAGATTTCTATAAGAAACTTCGCTTACTGTGATTCAGATCAACGTAACGACATCCTAATGATCGCATCCTACGATCGCTTGTAGGTATAAATGACCAATTATAAATTATTCCTCCTTATTTGTAATTGCCTACACTTTAACAATAAAACATAGTCACAGAAAATCAGTATAAATAGCAGTGCTCGTCACATTTTCTTTCATAAGTCATTCTACTATAAATAGTAGAATACATATTTTTTATTTTTTTTTACAATTTTTCTAGTTTTAAATCTTTTTAGTTTTACAATTTTTTGTAATTAAATTTTTTTCTTCTATTTATTAAATTTTTAAAAATTGTTTGAGATGTTAATATTTTAATTTTTCTAGATATTTATTTTTTATTTTCCTTAATTTTTAAAATTAAAATTTTTTTTAACTTTTACCTTAGTAAATGTTGAAATTTTTTTGGGTTTTAATTTTTCAATTACTTTTTATTGTGAAAATTTTTAATTTAAAAATTGTTTTTTATTTTTTACAAAAATTTTTATTTTATAGTTTTAAGTGTTTTATTTTGTGGAAATATATTTTAAATACGCAATAAAAGTGCAAATAAAATGAAAACCTAATCTATGTCATCTTTTTGTACCAATTGCAACGACACTGTGACCCATAATTGCGAAAAACTTGGACGCAGTTATGCGTCACTGGGATTTTTTTTCACCGTAACTACCCGTAATTGCGATTTTTTCATAGTAGTTACGCGTAGTTACGTCGCAGCTTTCTGCAATTACGGGTCACAGTGCGATCGCAGTTACGCCACAGTTTCATCGTAATGAAACACATGGGTAATAAATTGTCCAGCCCAGTCGATCAACAGATTTCTTTCATAGAAACAGGACCTGGAAATTTAAATTGTAAATCAATTTTATTTGTTCCTTGGATCATAACATCGAATTCAAATATCTGAATTTGTATCAACATCTTTAGATCATATATTCAATCATCCTAAAAAGTATAGAACAGCAGCATTTCCAGCGTTGGGATATGGCTTAGCAAATTGTCCGGCGGATGTTGTAGCAAAAGCAATTATTGATGCAGCTATCAGTAAAATTCAGAAAACTACAGTTCATTGTACAGTATTATTCATTATATTGCCTGTTCACTTAAATACCCATCACGAATTTGCAAATATATTAACGTCAATACAAAAACCTTCAGAACCATTTTGTTCCATCGAGTATTCATTTTCAAGGGAGTACTGCAAGACAGAAATTGTTTTAATCCAGATGATCAGAATATGAATAAAGGATTGATCGAAATCCTCACTTAAATAAGAAAAAAGAAACTTTACACACCCCTGCTTTACTTCTACCTAAAATTAACATTGCAATTGACTTCTAAACAAGAAGTTAATTTTAAAAAATGTCGATCTGATATCAAATCTCATCTTAAATCATGTTCACAAGTCAAAGGTCGAGACAATGAAGAAAAAATTGATAGTTGGACACAACAATCAGTTCTAAAATTCTACAAATATTGCTTGAATCATAATATATGGCCAACAATTAATCTTGATCAAAGAGAGGTCACGTTAACTGGTGAAAAAAATCTATCGAAGATGGCAACAAACATTTTCTTGAATTAACTACACAAGCGCTAAAACAAGCACATCTAGATATGATTTCACGTAATATTCTTTGGGAACATGAAACCGATGCTTCAACATGGGAAAGTTATTCATATAGATGCAATGCTGACATTGAATATGCGTACCACTTTAATAAAACATCCATGGCTAGTATCGATTCTCGATATAAAATCAAATCTCATAAGCCTAATTTTATTTCGTAGGTTAAAATCACCAATGAGCAAGGCGAAACATGTAATATTGATTTTAAAAAACTAAAAGAAATCTTTAACCACCGTATTCGACCGATGCGAAGGCAAAATTTAGCCAATTACAGTTTGCCTGTTCGTTGGCAAAGTCAATCGACGAATTGTACTCGTTTTCTTCTAGATGAATATTAAAATATCAAAGAAAAATTCGATCAAACTATGCCAGGCGGTTATACATGTACAAAATCTATCGAACGCATACAAAATCAACGATGATTTAAACAACATGCAGCTCATCACGATGTCATGACAGATCGATTAAAAGAAAATACTGAAAAAATATTACTCCATGATTGCAATCAACATTCAGCAAATAGTATTGTGGAAGAATGTTTCAATCGATCATATGCGGCAATTAATGGTAAATCTAGTAATCAAATTTTTGATTAATAATAATTAATTTTTCTTATTAGAAACAGTCTATGCGCAAGGCGTTTATTTTGCAACGAATGCTAAATATAGTCATGATTATATTCGGGCTAATCAAAATAATGAACGTTGTATGTTTGTTGTGTTAATTCTCGTAGAAAAATCTATTCTTGGAAATACATCAATGAAAGTACCACCAAAAGGATATGATTCAACAACAGATAATAATCAAATCTATGTTGTCTATCATGGTGCACAAGCCTATGCTGATTATTTAATTACATATCAACAATTTCCTCTTCCGAACTTATTTTTCTATATACGACTCCAACAGAAAAAATGTTGTTTTCATATAATAAAAAACAAAAAAATGAAGCACGATTTTTGTCGTTATTCTGATAAATGAGAATAACAGAGAGAAAAGAAACGTTGATCTCTTATGTAACAATAGTAAAGGTTACAACTGAAAATGTTGTTTCTCTACTAATGTATTTAGTTTATTGGCTCTATTATTCGTATCAAGAAGTTAGCTGTACGTTGTCTACACAAGGCCACTATATCCTGATATAGCAACGAGATAAAAAGATCTTTATAAATAATCAGCAGACATCAATGAAATAAACTGTATACATGAAGCGTGAAATTATAACAGAAAAAAGAACATGTCTTTTGTTGTTAAGAATAATTGCCTTAGAATATTTATTAGCCTCAGTTTCATTACCTTTTCAACATCATTTCTTCTGACTGTTGAGCTTGATCGGTATTTTGAATCATCATAGGCCGATGGATAAACATTTTCGGATATGTTTAGTTTTGTATTTAATTTTAGAAAAAAAAAGAAAGAACTGCAGCAGCAACAAACACACAACCTGCATCGGCGGTAGCCAAAGAAGAAAAAAGAAGATACGCACACACAACTGTGAAGTTTTTCGTGTGCATGAGTTTATGTTCTAAAGTTAGTGGCGTGTGAATGACAAGAAAATGAAAAAAGTCTAATCAAAAAAAAAAAAAAGAAAGAAACTTTGCTACGGTAGTAACGAACGTCCATGTTTTAGTCGCAGCAATAAAAGAGAAAAAAACATAGGTAACAACAACAACAACAAAAAAGATATCTCAATTGTTGAAGTGCAATACGCTATCCACAACAACAATAACAACAGCAAAGGAAAATACCTACGAAAGAAGGTTAATATCTTGACAAACGAACCGAAAAAAAGAAAGAAAAAAGGCTCTCATGATGATGACGATGATGGTAGCTTTAACAGGAACAAAAGAAATAACAACGATCATGCAAAAAACGAAAAACAAACTGTTCTAGGATGTGTTATACGTATGCTTGTTTTGAACTAAAAGGAAAAAAAAGAGAAGTTAGGAATAGCTTAGACCGATGAAATGCGCACAAGAAGAGCAGAGTTTTCATTTTTCTTTTATGTCAATTTAACCATTTTTTTTTACTGTTTGGGAAGAGTCGGAAAATCATCTGGATTGTCGAGCGCTGGCGCGTTAGGATCAGCATTTGAACGACCACCTTGGCGAGCACCACGGCCAGGACGACGATAATCACCGCCACGGCGTGCGCCTCGTTGTTCATCGTACGGTTGAGATGGTGAGCTTTGGCCTTGACTTGGTGAAGTAGCTATAATCCGCATGGTTTAGATATTTCTTAATACAAAGAAAATTGATTTGAGTTAACTTACATCTTTGTTGTTCATCACGGTTTGGTCGAAAGCGGCCTCCTCCACGGCGTGGTCCACCTCTTGAACCAGCTGCACCACGTGGAACTTCAATTGGTTTAAAACGTAGTGGAATTGTAATAATTTTCTTCTTTCCACTAGTTTGTTCTTCTTCATTTTCTTCGCCACTTTCATTTTCTACAAAAAAAGAAAAGAAAAGCAACATTCCGAATTAAGTTTTGTCTTCAATTTACCCTCTTCTTCTTCTTCGTCTTCATCATATTCATCTTCATCATTTTTCTTTCGATATTCTTGTTCGAATTTTTGCCAACTTTTTGGATCTTCACCTTCGCCAGCAACACGTGTATTGAATTGTGGTACTTTTTCTTGATAGGCACGTTTTTTGGCTTCGACTTGTTTTTTGTATTCATCCAATGTCATTTGTTTTTCAGCTTCATCGACTTGTTGTGCCCAATCTTTCGATACTGGAGCGCCTGCTTCATTGGTTTCTCTAGAGAAATTTCGTATTTATTAGAACGATCCGAAAATGGTGTTTTTGTTTGACTTACTCAGGCAATGGATGATCTTCCGGATTTTCGGTTGGATTACCCCAATTATGTGCACCTTCACCATCTTTTTTCTCGATTGGTTTCACACCTCTATAATAAAATTAAAAAAGCGAGATAGAAATTTTGATTTTTTTTTTGCAGTTAACTTACGTAACGTGAGAACGCGGTTGGCGATCAGTTTGACGACGATTAGCTCGATACTCATCAGTACCTTCACCACCCTCGCGATCACCAAAATTACGATTATTGTGAAATGTTCGACCACGATAATTACCTCGAGTATTACGTCGAGTATTATCCGGCTCAAGTGGTCGTTCCAACGGTGATACTTCTGGATCGTATTCACGAGTGGATTGTGGGCGAGCACTTTCAAAGTTTGTTCTAAATAAATCCAAAATAATAGATAAGTGAACAATTTTAATTAAACGTGAATGAAAAAAAAACGAGCTTAACCTCTTCAGCGTTAAAAATCGTACGTGTATTGTTGATTTTTGAGAAAGAGGAACGTTCGATATGCACCGCAAGCGACTGTGCTGCCTACATATATGTATACACACACACACACTGTGCAATCATGAGAAAAGAATGAATATATATCCTTGTCAAGCTATTGTTTATATGTAAAAGAAAATGGTCGTTTCTGTCTATGTCAATAGAAGGACGTTACTATGACAAGCTAGTATATCGATAAGGGGATAAATTTGTTCTAGTTCAAATTTTGAAGTGTTACTCTAAAGCTTATCTATGAACACAAAATAATATGATTAAAACATACTCGGTACTTTGTTGCCATGCACTAGTTTCTTGTGGTGCACCACCTTCTTCTTGATTTCGGTTATTGAAATATCCACGTCCACGTCCACCACGACCTCGACCGGCACCGCCACGACCACCTTCGAAGTTGCCACGGCCTCCTTCGAAGTTACCTCTTCTTGGTCCACCACGTCCCCGACTGCCACCACGCGTTCCTGATTCATTATTCCATGAGTCACCACCTTGTTCTCCTGAATTTGATTCATTCGTTGAACCTTGTCCTTCGAATTTGGTAAAACGTTGTGAACGTCCACGACCAGCACCATCAAAAGGTGGACCACCTCTTCTTGAACCACCACGAGAGCCTAGATCGGAGAAAAACAAATTTTTGTTTATCATTCAAACACACGACGAAAAATAAACAAACCTCGAGCACTATCACTACGAATTTGTTGATTGTTATTATCACCGAAAACAGCTGGCACTGTAGCTGATTGTTGTCGTCGTTCGACATTCGTTGATTTTGTAGTTAAATTTTCTTTGTTGGTTTTAGCCGTTGTTGTTGCTGTTTTAGTTGTAGTCGTCGTTTTTTTTGCTGGTTGTTTTGTATCTTTCGTTACAGGTTTTTTTTGTTTTGCTTCTTCTTGTGCTTGTGCAGCAATAAATGCTTCAGGTTCTTCATCGTGATCTACGAATTGTAGAAAACGATTTCCTGTATTAATACCATATTCAAAATCGAGCACCATTTTAAGTTCTTTGTTGTTGTTTCTCTAGTTCTTTTCTTATAAATTGAAAAATTGCATCTAGAAAAGAAAATCGATGAAGGTTTTTCTTATTGTTTGTCAATGATTAAGTTTGTTAGTTTTTCTAATAAAACAAAAAATGTACACAAAAGAAAAACAACAAGTTGTACGTCTTGGTTAAATAGCGATGACCGATAAGAAGGAGGAGGACGAGTATCGAAAGAAAGAGAAGATATCGGAAAGAATTTCGGCACTAAGCAAAAAACCGAACGAACACCGTTAGAGAGGTCAGAGAGTGTTGAATATATTTCGAAGATAAATAAATAGATAAGAATTTTTTTCTTAGAGTAAAAATTTTAAAACCAAAAAAAAATAATTATATGTAAGAAAACTTAAAACTATTTTTATTGTAATGCATTTATTGAAGCGTTTTATGCACTTTGATGAAGAGATTATTTGAGATGATTATGGTTGAACTATATCCGAATTTTACCATAAGATCCAAAAGAAATTATCATCTTGTGTTAATGATCATCAAAATATGTTTGAGTAGCATACTATTGATAGAAATAATGTTTAATAGCTGATAGATAGTTGCTTAGTTGTATTTTTATTTTCGTTTCAATCAATACGTAAGCTTGATTTACTTCTATGTGATCGATGTGGAGAAATTTTCAATTTTAGCAATGTCGTTCAATGTAAAATCATCAAGCACAACAGCACCACCGCGTTCATCTCAATATGTTGGACCCTATCTTCTACAGAAAACTTTAGGAAAAGGTCAAACAGGTAGACAAAGATTCGAAACTCTTTGTTTCTTATTGAATCTTTTTTTGTTCGTAGGACTTGTCAAATTGGGTGTTCATTATTTAACGGGAGAAAAAGTTGCTATTAAAATTGTTAATCGTGAAGCTTTATCCGAATCCGTATTGATGAAAGTAAAAAGCGAAATTCGTTGTTGTTTTTCTCTTAAACACAATTTTTCTTTCTCTCATAGGTTGAACGAGAAATAGCGATAATGAAATTAATTGAACATCCACATGTATTACGTTTATATGATGTGTATGAAAGTCGAAAATATTTATATCTAATTTTGGAACATGTTGCTGGTGGTGAACTTTTTGACTATCTTGTAAAAAAAGGTCGTTTAACACCAAAAGAAGCAAGAAAATTTTTTCGACAAATTATATCAGCACTTGATTTTTGTCATAGTCATATGATATGGTAAGAGAAGATAATTCGTTTTTCTGTTGGGTGTTGCATTAAATTGTTTTTCTTTGTTTTTTTTATAGTCATCGTGATTTAAAGTGAGAACACAACAGAATAAGCCAAAAGCATAGCTTTGATTTGATTTCCTTTTAGACCGGAAAATTTATTACTTGATGACAAGATGAATATTCGTGTAGCAGATTTCGGTATGGCATCGTTACAAGTCGAAGGATCGTTTCTAGAAACTAGTTGTGGTTCACCACATTATGGTAAGCAGAAGAAAAAAGCACACATACACACGTTCAGTACTAACTTTGTTTTTTCATCATTTAGCTTGTCCGGAAGTAATCAAGGTAAATATTTCCATAGAGATTTTTTTTAAGCTAAATTTCTATTCAGGGTGAAAAATATGATGGACGGAAAGCTGATGTTTGGTCATGTGGTGTTATTCTATATGCGTTACTTGTGGTAAAAGAATCTAAATTCGAAAATGAATAGTTTTCGTTTTTCACAAGTTAACTTTAGGGTGCCTTGCCGTTTGATGATGATAATCTTCGACAATTACTTGAAAAAGTAAAAAAAGGTGTTTTTCATATTCCACATTTTGTTCCAGTTGATTGTCAACAACTACTACGTGGAATGATCGAAGTCGATCCAAACAAACGATTGAAGGTAATTGTTTTTACTAAATTTTATTTTTTCAAAATCAGAAACATAATAAATCCTTTTTTTAAAATTCTTGCGCTCGTGCTCGCTTGCTTATAATTTTTTTCTTTCTTTATTAATAAATGATTATTACAGTTGGAAGATGTTAGTCGACATTCATGGGTGACACAGTACGTAACTAGCGAACATACGCCTATTCATCGTCGTAATCGTATACCGATATCATCTAATCGTTGTACATCTTCATCGTCAATTAAAAGAAAAACACAGCATCCTTCGTCTATGTTCGTGAAATCTTATATTGTTTTTAAGTTTGTTTGCTCATGCTATTATATATGTTCGGAGCATGCTTCTGGTTTCCCTTTTGTCGTAGTTGTTGTAACAATGGTGTCGATCGAAAAAAAACATACCCGTTTGCTTGCTTGCATGAATATATTCGTTTGTTTTTTGTTTATCTTATATCTTAAGACAATCATTTATATATATATATATTTGTTTATTTTCTATTGTTCAGAGGAACAAAAGCTGAACTTGAACTGGAATTACCAATGGTGCAAGTTGTTCAAGTATGAATAGAAACAAAAAGAAAATTGTTTTGTTTGTAGGATTTGAATTTTGCTTTTTTTTTGTCTATAGACAACAATCATTCCGAGTGAAGAAGATATTGATGCCGATGTATTTGCAGCTATGACATCATTAGGCTGTTTTAAAGATCGACAAAGATTGATTGAAGCTTTATTAAATTCAAAGTAAACAACAACTAATTAAATCGTTGTTTTTCTATGTTTTATTTGCAGGCATAATACAGAAAAAGTCATTTATTTTCTTTTACTTGATCGTAAACTGCGTCAACCAAGTTATGAAGATGTTGAAGATGCAAAACAACGAAGTCATTCGGGATCACGTAAATTGATTAAAGAGAAATGAGAAAAACGACTGATATTAATTAGTTTTTATGACTTAATTTATAGCGGATGTACCACAAAAACGTGTTGATCGACATCGTTCGAATGGAACAAATCCTGGACAAAGTCCAAATCCCAATACACATCGATCGGGTATTGTTGGACAACTTGCTGAAGGTTCGCCTTTAGTACCAAGACGACAATTATATTCAAACATAAGGTAAACAAGAAGTTAATAATTCATCATTTACATTCTTCTCGAACGTTTGCCTATGGTCGCATTGTCTAATCACTTTTCTATGTGATAAACCCAAGGGGATGATGTCAAAACTATCTTCTAGAGTAGCAAATCTATTAGTGCTTTATGTCATGAGTTTCTTTGTTCGACGGCATGATAATAACGTCTAAACACTTCAAAATTTGAGTGTCAATGAAGTCACTTTCATCCTATTGGATAAATCCTATGCACATGGTAATCATAATCATGAAATTTTACTAATCTATATTGAACCAATGAAAAAATAGATGAGTTCTTTTTTGTCTCAGAGAAAAATAGAATCTTCAATAGGCTGTTAAACGCAAGTACCACTCTTTTACTTTTGTAATCATCAGTAAAATACTTGATAATGAGTATGTTGAAGCGTTTAAATTAGTTTTTTTTCTTATGTCGAGGTGATATGGTACTTGGAAATCAAGGCTTTTGTTTCTTCTTCTAGTAATAAAACAATCTCAGCAAATAATACTCCATCGATCAGTCCATGTTCATCTCCGACAATCACCAAGAAAGATGTATTCAATAAAATTACAGCTTTTACTTCTGGTAAACCATCCGTTGAAACTCCTCCTCCAGTAAATCCAGCTCCACAAATCCATCGACATCATCGTAATACATCGACTGTATCACAGAATGAAAACATTCTTACCACACAACCATCGACACAATCAATTGCCATTAGTAGTGATCAATCCTATTCATCGGTTAATGCAGAAGCTGCAATTAACAATGGCTCAAGATCTTCTCAACCATCTCGACGACAATACGCCCCACCACCGGTACCTCAAACATCCGAATCTAGTAATATCGAACTACCAGCATCGGTCCTCTCGAACAATAACAGTAATAGCAACAATTCACTTATATATACACCACCAAGTCAATCGAATCTTGCGCAAACACCAAATAATAATAATCAATGGAGACATAAATTAAATAATTTAAAACAAAGTTTTCAAAATGTTGGTACGCCTCGATTTCATCGACGACCGAAAATTTTATGTGAGTTGATAATTTCGAAAAATAAATAAATATATGTATATATATATATTATCGTTTCTTTAGTAAATGAAAGTGATAGTTCAACGACATCGAATTCACCCTCTCAATATGGTACAACACCGGAAGCAACCAAAAAATCTTTATTTCATCATATTATTGATGCTATGCAAGAAGATCATCATATGATTGTTGTTAAAGATCGACCATTGGCAGCTATCAAAACCGATCTTATTCATGCATTTTTATCGGTAAGTGTTAATCGTAGTAGTATTTTTATTTTCCAAGCGTGTTTATTTTCAAGACTCCCGATCTCGTGCATAATGTTCTATCGGGCACACAATATCGATGTGAATATCGTCGGCCAGATCGTTCGTCTATGTTTCAGCGTAATATACGTTTTCATGTAGAAATTTGTACAGTAAAATCAATGGATTCATCTTCACCTGACACCTATTATGTTACATTCACACTGATTACTGGTAGGCAGAAAATAAAATGTTCGAAAATCGTTTTTATTAAATTATTTTATTTCAATAGGACAAGCAAGACGTTTCAAAAAATTGTGTGAAGAAATTCAAACACTTTTTACAACGAGTAAAGAACGTCTAGCGAAACAAAGGCGACCACAACCACAACAAATAAATGATACTCGACCTGCAACCAATAATAGTGGTAGTTACTCAGTTAATACAGGCACAATAAATACACTACCAACGAATTCAAATATGCCAATGACAGTTAGACCGAATGCTTCATTTATTTCATCGTTATTCGGAAATACAAATTCACCAAGTATGATTTTTATATTATTAGCAGAACAAAAGTATACTTTTGCCATTTCTGTAAAGGTCAGATAAGAGGAAAGAAGATAACATTGAGTATGTCCCAATAGAGATGTGCCATTTATATGGTATCTTTTTTCTTTTACGGGACATTAGCATCTAGTAAATTATTGGTTCATTGAATACATAAGAGTTCAGGGTTCAACTAAATTGTCTAATTAGCATGAGAAGATGCAATATAGTTTATTCTATTCGATGATAGGCGAATTTCTCGAATGACTAGAATCCTCTTTTTTTCGAAAGTGAGATTTTTGTTCTCAGAAGTGAACTCTTTTATGGCATGATATCCGTCCTTTTCTACTAATTAATACTGGGAAGAGTTACAAAATGTGCCTTTTGTTCGCTGATGATCTACTCGTGTACCTTCAGCGGAAATACTTAATCTGAGATTACTTGCCTTTGTTAGGGGACTTCACATTTTATGACTTCGGATCAGAACTTTATCATATTGTGGAGACGAAATATTCTATTTCGATTTAAATTTTGTTGATCAATAAAATTTCTTTATTTTTATCTAGATTTAAAACCCACTGTGACTTCAGCTCAACAGCACCAATCATCTTCTTCATCTATTTCGTCTCTTTCATCAACATCCAATGTTTCATTGACAAATCCTCCACCAGGAGTAAATCATTCACCATATTCAGTAACATCGTCAATAGATGACGATCCAACAGTCGAATCTACACGTCTGAAGCTTGCTCATCGTCTTGCTATCTAGTCATGTTTTTTTCTCTCTCGCTATCTTGCTTATTGTTGTGTGTATGCGTGTGTATCTCATCAATATGTGTATGTATCGTTTTTTCTTCGCGCAATGTCATCAGTCTCATTCCATCGACAGCCAGCCAATACGGATCTAAATTGTCTCAAGTAGGAGAACTCAGTCCAGATTGAAATGAGCTCACATAAAAAACCAACCAACATTTGATCTGCCTTTTTCTAGTCAAAAGCAAAAAAATTTTATTTCACATTTGTTTTTTTTTCCCTTGATTAAGACGATATTTACACACCCCGCTTGTCTTCCGTCTTGTCGTCAAAAGAAGACGAAGAAGAAAAATTCCTTTCGTTTATTCTTAATCCATATATAAATATATACTGAAAAATGTTGTTGTTCAGAAACGTCCAAATCATTTCATTTATTGTTCGCGCATTTATCCTCCTTCTATTCATATAATAATATACGTGTGCGTGTGTGTGTCTGTGTTGAACTGCGAGTGTGGATGAACTGTAATTTTATGAGAGCACTTTCTTCACTTTTTTTTTCTTCCTTCACTTGTATCTTATAAAACAAAACAGAATGTGGCGAAAACAAAAGACTATAAGAGAAAAAAAAAACGAATAAAATAAAGCATTTTGGCATGTGTGCTCATTGTCAATGAAACTATCAGATTTCTAAAATTATCTCTATGCACCGGTTCGTTGGTAATTTAATTATATCAATGATTGACACATATATTAGATAAAATCGACGTGACTTTGATGAACAACGGAAATCTTTAATGAAATAAATTAATCTGTCGGCCAAGGATTTTATCTTTTAGAAAATAACGAGCACAGAAAGAAAAACATATATGAATTTTGATTTCCGGTACAAATGAGAATATTATTCGAATATAATAGGAATTTATGAATACAAAGAACAGGACATTGTTCTAAAAAATAATAGGAAATCAAGATATACGAGGAAAGAATTGGTTCTATCTTTCAAAATACGGAAATCATAAAAATAATAGTTCAAAATGTATCAACGACAATTTTATTGGATGAAGACTAGTTTTACTAATCAAAGATCAAGAAAAATGTGTTGCAAACATACTTTGAAACTAATGAAAATATGATGTTTATAGCTGACTCCTCCAAGGGAGGATTACTCAGAGTCTGCTTATGAAATAACTGAACAACAAAATTCAGAACCAAGATATTGAACCGCAATAGGATCGTAACCCTATATTTTTGCATTCGATTTCTTTTTTCCAGCCAAATTGCAATCTGCATATTCATGATAGTATATACATAAATACAAGAGCGACAGATGTGTGCCTCTAAGCGGAAAAATCATTAAAATAATCTGATATAAATGACAGCTGAACAATATAAACAATAAAACAAATACACCGTGTTTTGTTTTGCTTTATGAACATAGCTTCAGCAAACTAACCTTCATAAGTTCAGTCGAAATCGAAATATATTCAAGTTCAATTCATATTACAATATCAATTATAAATTCAAATCAAGTCTGTCCTAGACCATTGAATCCAAGCATTGCATGATTTAACCTCACGCCTCGATGACAATGAAATGGTTAGGCTTTTTTTTTTGTTCTTCAAAAAAATATCCATTTTCCATAGAAACCGCATAGAACTTCACTCATTTATTTAATGCTGTTCTTTTCTTGTCCACGGAGACAAAGAAAAAGATGCGTACAATAATGATTTTTTTTCTTTTTTTGTTCAGCGAACTTCATAATACACATCTACACGAACAAGAGAAAAAAACGACGTATTATCTCGCGCATAAGAAAAAAGCGAATGAAACTGGAATAGCACCAGTAACAAACAACAACAGTGACAAGAGTACATAATAAACGAGATCCTATAGCACGCTCGTTTTTATGTTTAATTCAATAAGAGAATTGTGCGAAAAATTTAAGAAAACAACAAGAGAGAAAAACCACAACAATTCAATCTAGAACACTGTTCGTATCTATTTCTTTTATCCGAGAGTAGAAAAACAAGAATTTTAGTTTTCTCGAGGAAATCAGGATAAACATCACTATTGCACCGCAAAAACTGACATAAAAACAACTCGATATTGACTTTTCTGTTCAATTAACTTGGACTACTACTACTACTACTACTACTACTACTACTGTTCAGACTACGATGAAGGAATGTGTAGCTGAGAAAGGCGCGCGTGACTAGGAATAATATCCTATATTATTAGATCGAAGACAAATAGATTAACACAAAAAAAATGACACACACATCAATACACCGGATATTACTCCTCTTCTCTATTCTTAAGTGTTTCCTGTGCGTGCTCACTCGAATTGTTTTCTTAACTCTCTCACTCTCGTCTGCGAACACATATCAATGAAATCGATTTTTTTGCAAAAGACAAATCATTGTTGTTCTTGCTTTTGTTTTGTTTCAAGAATATAGGAAAAGACAACAAAGAAAAAGAAAAATGATACATAAACAGTAGAAATAAAAACAAACAAACAAACGAAACAGAACAGCTTTATTAACTGCTGATCCTAAATTGCTTGTTTTTGTTCATACATACAGTAATACATTTATGTGTATTTACTGTTAAAAGTTTTTCATCACAAACTGGAAACAACGGACAAACAAATATATATAATTTTTTATAAACAGAAAAAAAAAATATGTAGAAATTATAAACATATTGAAACAACAGAGAAATAAGACGATACATGTTTTTAGTGTGTGAATGAATCGGAAAAAAAGAAAACGAAGAAAGACAATTGTGTTTATATAAGTTTGTTTGTAGAAAATGAAAAACAAAAGACGTACGTACTTGGTGTATGACGATATAGAAAGAAACAAGTAAAATAATAAGAGAGAGAAAAAGAAAAACATGGCTAATATGAATGATTTTTTGTTGCAGTAACTGTCGTTGTAGTTAACACATTATTGTTTGAACGCCAAGTTTTGTTATATTGAAAAGAAAGAATTTGCCGTTGAAGTTCTTCAGTACAAATATGATAAATTTGCATTTATTTTTCGAGCAGTTTCCCAAAATAGCTTCTTTACAAACAGATATATAACCATTCTTTTCTTCCACAAAATCTAAATTATCAAAATTTCAATATGAAACAAAACACTTCTATTTATTCAATTTTACCTTCCAATAAATGAACATATTTGCATTGAGGTCTCATACAACGGCGGGATTTAAAGTCTCGGCAAATGGGAAGTATATCCAGTAACTAAAATGACAATTAATTATTTCTAATCATCCGATTGAATTGTGTGTCATTGTCGTACAACATGCGTCGCGTATTCATTCAAAATATATCGAATTCAGAAAATAATACATGCATAAAATTTAGGATATGAGGAGAAAGAATCGAGTGTACGTCGTCGATAACTATTTAATTTTCTCTACTTTTCATTTGATTTTGAGCTGAACAAATAGAACAAAATAATCAACATACGCAAAAGAAACTATGCTTTTTTTTCATGCACGCAAACAAATATCAAACATCTCACTTGTCCTTTTTTGTCAATATAGGTTACATAAGATGAGCCCACAGAAACGAGCGCGCCCTGAGCAGCGACTATTTCAGGCGATGGCAAATCTGCATACGAGGATATTCAAGCATTCAGATGATAAATAAGACCTTCTCATGCTCACAAAAAAAAGAGGAACAATCGATTCACTTACAAGTCATAGGAACAGCAGTTAGATAAGGCTGTTGAAACTGCATCGGTAAGGGTGATGCAGATGGATAGGAAAATGCTGTTACTGGATAAGCAGCCATGGGTATGCCCGTTTTTGGGTCAGCAACAGCTGAACGTTTTTGATGTTGCGTATTTACCGCTGTTTGCTGTTGTTGTTGAATATACTGTGGTGCAGCAATGATCTGTGCTCCATGTGGCTAGAAAATAAATAGACGCATGATATTCATTTTAGTTCGAAAAATAACATGAAGAAAAACAATAAAAGAAATATTTATTCATCTATGTTTTTGCTTTGAGTGCTTTTTTCTTTTTGTTCTTGTAGAAAGCATATCGGCATTAAGCAAAGCACAAATGATATTTTGTCAGAATTGTAAATTCAAGCAAGATGGAAGCTAGTAAAATTATAGATTAAGAAAGCATAGATTGTCGCTCGATCACTTTTCCTAATTTCGTACATTCAAAGCAAAATTAAATGAATAAATAATCTAAGGTTTAAAAAGCAAATGTGCAATACCAGCTGTAGGTAGGCACCGGAAGTAGCAGTATCGTCTTCAAGCGGTCGTTTTTTTGTCTGCGGTGTGATGCTGCTGCTGCTGACAGGATCGATCGCTGCCTAGATTAGTAGAAAAGAGGAGAATAGAGACAAGATCGTGTGTGCAACAAGCATAAACAAACAAAAGAATAAAATAACAACAATAAATAAACAAACAATAAGCTTCAAAGTTTTCTCTTTGTCTGGGAATGAAAAATCAATTATTATTAATGAGAATTTTCTTTTTTTCTTATACGACTCGGTATTTCGATTGATCTATTATAATATCTCTGACGTGCATCAAGTCGTCATGTAATAAGCTTAAGCACGCATAATGTTCCGGCTAAAAGTAATTTGTGTGATTGGCTAAAAACATAAATATATGGTTCAATAAAGCTCGAATATCATCACGTTCACATAAGGCAATGGCAGAAAAACAAAACAAAAGGCTACTGCTTGCTCCACAAAAACAAAAACAAAGTCTGAAGAGTTTCTTGTTTTTCTACCAACCTTAATATCATTTGCTGTTGATGATGATGATGATGATGATGATGTATCATGATTTGTCGAAACCATAAGCGTCGACTAAACGAAAAAATGAAAATCGAACGAGTCCCGAGTTATTTAATTAACTTTACATCTTTCAAATCAACAGATGGTGCTCGTGCATAAATTGCTTGCATATGTCCTGGATATGGTTGATATGCAGAAACAAAGCTATTTGCATAAGTACCATCATCTTCGGGAATATTTTGTTGTTGCTAAAAGTAATAAAACATTTAGAATGTGAAAGTCTCTCGGCGTGCGTCTATTAGAGTCGATCTATAAATTAAACTAAGCACTAGCAAAGAGCATGCAAAGCATACCAATGGCGAAGAAGAAGCAGGTGCAATAGATGTTTGTTGAGGATAGACATAGGTAGTAGGCGATGCAGACAGTATCGATTGACTACTATTCAATGTAACGGGCTGAACAAATTGAAAAGTCGACGGTGAATATTGAAGAGCAGCTGCTGCTGAATAAACGTGCGCAGCAGCAGCAGCGACTGATTGTGCTTTAACAGCTTTTAATTGTGCAACAAGATGATCGGGTGGATGAAAATATTTGCATGTTTCACGAGCACATTTTCCTTTAACATAATCAACGCAGACAGTAACAAGACCATCTGCATCAAGTGGACAATGTGCTGGTGGATGTGCATACGGACATGTATCGAGTGTATAAAAGCATTGTCCACGCTGAAAATCATAGCACACCTAGAATTAAAATCAACACAAGCTGAACAAAACCAAGGCACAAACATGCAAGGTCACACACACACACATATATATATATATATATATATATATGTATATGTATATGTATATGTATATAAAGACAAATAATATCTAGAGAAGCAAGCAATAAGCATAGAGATAAGGAAACTACAAGTCGTGTAATGCGTACATACTAAGCACAGAAGAAACATTTAAAACATAAACACAAGTGTTAGAAGAATAAGTGCACGATAGTGATAAATAAAACGGCTATTCGAAAGAATAAGCTGGCCTCGATATTATGCTTGTAAGATCTCGTCACTTACATAGAGCGTGTCAAGTTCAAAATAAGACTAAACGGGATACACTAATTAATATGTATAAGGTATGTGAATAACGGGGAAAGATAAATAAATAAATAAATAAATAGAAATTATGTCAGGTCCAAAATATTAGCATACACATTTTATACAATTTATAACGTTCATAACAAACCTTTAAAATATCATGATTGGAATTGTTATTTGAATAAATCTAGAGAATCGAAAATTTCCTTTTTGTTCGCCACTACGAGTGTATTTGTTTCTTTTTAAATATTAAAAGTGAGTAGCAGTTTAAACAAGGACAAAGCTGTACGAGAGAGCGAACCATAAATACGTATATCTATATGTGTACGTGTGTATGTATATATATATATATATATATACATGTATGAGCGAGATACATGCTTCCAATTTTGGATTCTTTTTTTTATCGATAAAACAGCAGCAACGATGGCGGCATAAGAACGGCTCAGAGCAGATTAGTGAACCAGATAGAGCTCAAGAAAGAATGGCAGGGAAAGTGGCTTGCTGGCTGCTGCTCGACATGAACTCGTTATTTTTTCTGTAACTAGCTGCTTCAGCGTGCAGATGGAGCAATTATATGAATATAGATTGGCGCGCCTGGCTGCTAGATATAGACATTTACATATCTCACTTACCACTGTTTTTTTTAATAATAGGATTAAAAAGAAAATAGTCGGAATATTGAGCAAAACAAATGAAGAAAAAACGATTTTTTTTCTACTCGATAACATACCTCAAGACGGTCAGTACGAGTTATCTTCGGTCCAGTTTGTTGAGCGGCTAGTTGTGTCACCGGTTGAAAATATTGCGCACCATCTGGACTATACATAGCAGTTGCATTTGTACCTTGTGTTAATTGTTGTAAATGAGTTGCATGTAGAGGAATGCTAAAAGCTTGGCCAGCCTGATTGAATACTAGCGCTGATTGAGCTGGACCAGCTGAACTTAACTGAGGATAAGACGCCTACAATAGATCAATTGTTTCTTGTTATTTAATAAAACAAAAGCCTAATAATTTCTTACGAGTGACGCAGATTGTTGTAGGGAATTTTGAAGTATAGCACCGTTGGGATACGGCAAATGGGTTGCCGTTTGTGGATACATAGCTTGATTCGCAGCAATATTCATAGCTATAAAAAAAATAAAAAGAATATCATTATGATTTAGAGTCCCCAAAGTTATGTTTACCAATACTACGAAGAATAAGATTATTGCGTCCGTTCTGAAGTAGAATGTCACGTAAATGTTGAGGCGGATGAAGATATTTACACGGTGGATTCGTACGATTGCATTTACCCTATTGAAGAAAAAAAGAATTTTATTTTCATAATGAAAATCATCATGACAAAACAAAAACTAAATAAAAAAGCATACGGGAACTTTTAACGGCTGTGAATTGTTGCTACTCATCGTCGACACTTTTTTCACAATATGAATCAAGAGAATTCAAAAATGCCTATTTGTTTTAAGATAAGAAAATTTCTGTTAACTTACTTTCTCAAGACTCATCTCATATCTTTTTTTTCGCTTCAAAGTTTTGAATCATAATGATAATGATTCAGAAAAAAAATATATATCTCTCTCCCTCTCCTAACTGATATAACGCCTCGAGTTTGTCATTCATCTTTTTTCGCACTCATATGCAACATTAAAACGAGTCTAAACGTTGATTTTAAAATCATCTTTCACTCCGTTCTACACATATGCATATATCATATCTACCTGTGTTAAAGGTCGTTATAATCAACACGATGTTCAAATAGAATAGCTCTCGTGAGTGAATGAATAAGATAAACAAAATAAACAATCAACGGTCAATCTTCTTTTTTTCTTCGCGTTTTTGATTTTAATCATTAAAATGACAACGTGATAGATGTCCTTATTGTAGACTTAAGTATATACTTTTTTTTATTATTATACGGAAGCAATTCTTTTAATGAGTTTTTTTTTGTTATCGTGAATATCAAAAGAATTGATGTGGAAAACTCTTTAGAAAATAACCTTCACCTATGAGGACGCAAAGAAATTTTTTTTTGAAACTTTATACAAACCTTCAGTGAATCAAAACAGGCTATAACTTTGCCACTATTGACTTCGACATGCGCAGATGGATGAGCAAATTTACATTCTTGTTCGGACCGGGTACATTTTCCGCGTTGAAATTCTCGACAAACTTCAAGCGTTAGCCAACGTGAATCTTTAACATTCGCAATCGATGTTAACAATGGCATATTAGCGGCAACACTTGCCGCTGGAATTTGAACGGCTGCTGTTGGCGACCCGCCTGTTGACGATGACGAGGAACCAGTTAAGGGTGACATATACTGTTGGTGATACATATTGGCTGCTGACGAAAAATGAGTACCGTGTGGATCAACAGCCGTTGCAGAAAAACTGAAAGACATTTACAAATTTCACTGTTTGTCCGATATCTATATAAATATATATAGCGATGATGGATTATCGTTGAGATCCCATTGTGTATGAACGAGTAGTATACATATTTTATGAAAATAGTTGGGTGATATATAGTGTCAGATCTAGAAATATGTACATTTTTTATGTTATACGTATATATTGATATGTAATTTGCTGTCAAAAAAGCAAAACAAAAGAATTGGTAAACAAGGACAAACGAGTCGATTTTACCTTGATGTAGCTTATTAGTAATCCACCATTATTATACCACGATATATATATATATATATATATATAGTGGAACAGTAAAACATAGATGGATGTCGAAAGTAATTGACATTTTATAGTCTATTAAGCAATCGACGAACAACAACAAAGACGTACACGACGGGAGAAATATTTATAGAACGAGTACTAAATAGGCAATTCTAGAATAATAATGTTATTCGATCAATATCGATGCTTATTCGCAACGGTGAAACGGATGATAATGATGAAAAAGAATCGTACGTGCAATGCATAATGAATACTTGTTAAGAAAATACCGAGTTCTTTAAATAATAACAGTAACAATTTCTAGTACTTGGTTTCTCTTAAATCAAAAAAAAAGGAAAATGGAAATTCCTATTTCTCTTATTCTTTTCTTCTACATGACATGCTAGTCATTCGTCTTTTTTTTAAATTTCTATTACCTACCATCTATTTCATTTACACATTGCGCACCATAAATCAAGCGTACAGAGTACGCTGTTGAACGCACGCATGCTTCTCACTTTTCTTAAGACATTAGCATATTCTTCTTATTTTTTTTCTTCTTCTTTACAATATCTTTCCTACACACAAACTAATAATACTTCTGATATAAATATAGAAAACTTGCCTGTTTATATATATATAGACTGTGGAGAACAAGTTCCATCTCAAATGCAGGGTCGATATTTATCTCTATTGTTTTAGTTTTTCCATCAATATACATGTCTGTCTAATTCTGTAGCCGGGTGATGAAAATCTAGAGATATGTATATAGAAGAAATTTCTCTTTTTTCCCTTCTTCTTCTATATCTGTAACTACTAAACTAGAAAAAGATTTGTACGAGAGAAGAAGATTGATGCTGATGGTAATCGGATACGTTTTTAGTAACAGATGTATGACAAAACTTTCTACCTGTCGTCAAGGAATCGGAAGGCAACATAAAAAGAAAGAAAAAGAGCTCGGGTAATCGAACCGAATATATATATATATATATATATATAGTAACGATATTCAATCTTGATATGACTAAATACGAAAAGAGGCTAGCATCGATCATAAGCATGCAAGCTGCTCAACTTAACAAGGACTCCTTTACTTCTTTTCTTCTTTTTATTCGCCTCGACATGAGATGAAGAGAAAGAAATACAAGTACTCACATTCATGTGTCAAATACGTCACTATCCGAATAACAGACGAGAGAGAGAGAGAGAGAGGGAGCAAGAAAGACAGACAAGAAAAGAACAACGTTGTCGACGCCCCAAGTTCTTCGCTATCGTCGTAACACCATTACAGCGTAGAAGAACTGCCATCCTTTTTTCTGCAGCTTCACAAATGGTATTTGCGCGCGTATACTTTTCTTTCTCTCTCTGTCTCGTTTGCTTTTTTTTCCATCGGTAGAATAATGCCAAAATGTTAAAATTACTTGATGTTCGATCATCGCAAACGCTGATACAGATAAAATAAGAAAATAAACGGTAGACAGACAGACAAGTGTGAGATAAAAGTAGAAAAGAGAAGTTAAGAAACGTGCCATTTTATGAAATTCCCTATGCATGTTCAAAACTTGATGATATATTGGTTCGTTAAACAGTATTTTACTTTTTTTTTTTATTCACAAAGACTTTTCTATTTCACTCGCTGTTGTTCATAATACAATCATAATTCGTCTACATTTTATCCGACAAAAAAAAGCTTTTTTTTCTATCTGAAGCGATGATGTCTCAGGCATATCATGTCTTCACTTTCCTCTGTTACGAAAATTGATGTGTATATTTATATATGTAAATTATTTATTCGACTAATTCCTTTCGGTCAGGCGAAAACAATTTGCTCTTTTTTTTTTTTAATAATTTATCCGCACAGGAAGTTTAATTATATAATCACTAAATAGCATCAAACGAACTCACCTGTAAAGCACAATGTTAACCTGATTCGAGCAGCTGTCAGTTACCGTCATCTCACATATGCGTCTATGTTTCTTTTATCAATTAGTGCTCAGTGCTTACTCGAACAACAAATGCATGTGTGGTCTTTCATTTTTTTTTTGTTGATTCGTTCTCTTTTTCTACTGTCTAAAAAGATGCTTTTATAGTATCGACACAAATATGTATATTTCTTCACGGTTTTAATCATCATCATCATCAGTAAATAGCAAATACGCACGAGAACATAAAATTGCGAGAGACATGCAAAGGTAATATAGAAAAATGGTAATATCTGAAGATTCGTTCTCTTTCTTACCTGTCTGTGGCCTTTCGAAGTGTGACAACAGAGACTCTTCTTTCTCCTAGAGACATAATTTGATTTTTCTGTGTTGACTTGTACAAGTCACGGATCGATGAGTGGCATGATTTCGGTAGAATCGTGATGCCATTTATGATGAAGTAACTTTTTTCCTTCTCTCTTACTTTAGTGTCTTTTATTGATGATGCCAACTACATACGCACACGTATACGCAGCAACGAGCGTATAAAATAAATGAGATTCTCTTTTTTCTTTTATTTTGTTCTATCGCTCTATGTATAGCGCTTTGCCTGCCATTTCTACAAGTCGCTTGTGCAGCTGTTTTTTTTTTATTATAAAGAATGGCACAGTGCGGAGAGATCGCGAAAGAACAGTACGCGAGTTCTTGCACTGTAATAAACAAGAATCTATAGATTTGACTATTTATTATCGACTATCTTTCTCTACTTTTGTCAAAAGTGTTTATAGGCAAACACATCTCTGTTCATTCACATTTGTCATTGCGCCATGTTTCGCGAATGTACACATAAACGTACAAATGATTCTGGTCGAACTATTATAACAAAGGGAAACGCACGGCTTCGATAACATATGCATTCATATAAAAGAAAATAACACCAGAAGTTTAACGCACACTTGCCGTTTGAAAAGCACAAGCACTGATCTAAGATGATAATTTTGCCATACTGTTGCAACAGATGTACAACATGAGGGTGAAGGTCGTGAAAGTGTTCGACAGTATGCGACGTAAAAAAAAGCCTAGATGATGTTAAGGATTCAAAAAAAAAGAAGAAAACGTTAATCTCTTATCAAATATCAACAATGGCGAGTAGGTAGAAAGCTAGAAAACCGACTAGAGCGTTGAAACCTTATGTGTAAAGGAAAAAAAATCGAAGATGTGACTCATATGAAGACAAAAGTCCATTTGAGCAATAATTCATGCACGTGTATTTATTATTGACTTGCTAATGTCGAAGGTTTATTTTGTACAGATATCCGGTTTCTTCTTTGTATGCGTGTTTTGTTTCGTTACCCACTTTTAAGAACTAATAAAGAATAAAAACTTACCAATAATCAAACCATTGATTCTCTCCGCAGTCGTGCTCAATTTCATTAGAAAAAAAGAAAAACAAGAGAAGATCGATAGTTTTTGTTCATGTCACTCATGATAGTTATATATGCTCAACTGCATAGTGAATTCTATTTGTTCTAATAATGAATTCTGTTTTTTATCACAACAATATCTATTTTTCTTTTCTGTGTCTGCAACTCTTCTCACTGCCAGCATAAATATTACTAACAACCGTAGGAGAATATGATTAAAGTGATACTGCTGCTCTCTCTCTCTCTCTCTCTCTCCTTTTCTCTGATGATAGAAATAAATTTGCATAAGAGTCAGAGAAAAAAAAATGAGAGCACAAGAGAAATTGTTGTGGACTCGTGAGAATGCATCAGCACTGAAAAAGAAAAATAGATATTGTTGTGATAAAAAACAGAATTCATTATTAGAACAAATAGAATTCACTATGCAGTTGAGCATATATAACTATCANCCCCCCCCCCCCCCCCCCCCCCCCCCCCCCCCCCCCCCCCCCCCCCCCCCCCCCCCCCCACGAAAATAAACTATTACGACTAACTTCATTGGTCTTTTCACTGGCATTTTTTTGAATCTCTCTCGAGATATCAGCAATCAAATATGACTATGATCCCTTTTTATTCTTCTTCTCTTTCTATTTCGTTTTATTAAGAGAAAATAAAAGCATGATTTTCAGAGTCAAATACATAGAGCTATACATTCTTGTTTGGCACATGTTATAGGCGTGTCGTTATGTGTGACTAGTACCCTCAATTATCAGGCAAGGTTTTTATTCGCATATTAAAGCTCGCTCAATCAAATTTTACACCTATAATAATAATGCTGATCGATGATTTATAAATACTATGTAAATGAATTTACGATGAAGTTTCTGGGCCTTATTAGAAATTATCGGTGTTATTATTCAAGCTAAATCATCAACATTCATAATGATAAGAAAGAAAGAAAAATCGAGAATTGCTTTATTCTCACTTTTCTTTTTCACACCAATTTGATGTGTGGGTCTATGTGAACAACCTTCAACATGAAATAATTATATCGTGAGAGAGTGAAAATAAACCAGATAATCCTTTTAAACAGCACGTTCGATCTTTCTTTTAAAGACATGCAAATCTATACGTGATGTATGCCACAACACCTTCATATCATATTCAATAAGATTTATATACATTATAAAAATTGTTTTATAGTTATGACTTTATTGAAATACAATACTGACGAAGAAATTTTTTAATATTTCAAGCTACATCAATAAACACAACAAAATAAAATCTAAATCATTGAAAATGTTATTTTGACTTTTTTTCGGGTATTTATTGATTTTTCTTTGGTTTTGAACTTGCTCCCTTTAATGTTAATGCAAGAATAACTGAAACAATTGGCACAATAAAATACCATGTTTTATAGAAATACCAAACTTTCTGAATTTCCATTAGAACAAATGGTGTCACAGCAAAATTCAATGCTATCTGAGTACCTAACCATGTTATACATGCATAGATAGATTTTGTCGCTTGATTTTTTTGAAAATACGGCCGTATTTGCCGTCGAATGCCACGTCCGGCATAAGTTTCAAACGCTGCTAAGATGAAACACACATAATATCCCGGATAAAAACCATGCTAAAAAAAAGAAATAATAGTAATTCAATAATAGGCAAACAAATTGGTAAATCGGACTAGGCAATTTCTATTCAAATAAAACTAAAGATCACTATGGTTCTGTTTAATACTAAGTTTAAGAGGATAAAGATATTATTATTATTATTATTATTGGAATTTCATTCTAGTAATAGGCATTATCCTTTATTTTTTTCTATGCATCATCTATGAAAAATTATGTAAAGTTTAGTTTGATAAGTAATCATTAAAACAAAACAAAAACCGTTGCATTATACATGCGTTGTTAATCCATAATAGAATGTTAGAAGAAGCAAAAAAAGGCATTTGATGCAACTAAGACTGTAAATAGTGATTATTAATGTAAAGCATAAACGCGCAAAAATGTTATACTTTTACCTTCAACTCTAAGTATCATTTGACATTAACAGCAAAGTTTGCCATTCAACTATTTGAATGTTGAATTGATTCACATATATAAAATCGTATTTTTTCTAGATAAGAGTTATCGATTAGACAGTTCTTTTTCTCTACTTCTGACATATGAATAGAAATATCTTCGAGCAGAACACAATCTAAGGCAACTAGACACATGATTGATTATCCGGGATTTCGAACTAGGCGTCGATGTTTTGTTTCTCGAAGTACATACAAATCTAAGTGCCGGCGTAATGCAATTTCTCTTGACAAGAAGATATTCAAACGACAGAACATAGATCATAAAATGTAATCCCTTTGAATTTTTCTTAATTTCATCGAAATTTATATGTTTCTTCATTAGAAATTCTTTTTCCTAAGAGTAAATCTATATTAGCTATCAGATGTTTCAAAAAAAAAACTAATCCGAACTCATCATTTGGTTAACTGCTTTTCATTGGCTAATATTTTCGTATTATTCTATTTTTTAAAACTGTTCTCTTTATCTTTCGACTTACCCAAAGTGCCGAAAGTACAAAAACTCCCAATGTTCGACCTTTTTGTATTCGATCATAGCAAACACGGCGAAGCCATAGAGCCGTTTCTACATTTACATGGAAGAAAAGGACACATTTTTAAATATTCGATTAATTTTATTCTTACGCATATTCCATACGTCGATAACCACTTTCAAACTCGTTGCTAATTCTAATTGAAGTGGTTTCACATTGGTCAGAAGATTCCACTGTGGTATTCCGTTTTTATCGAAACCAGCAAAACCAAGACCAGCTGCATTATTAACAGTTTCGGATAGGATGAACGCAAAATAATATCTGATACGGAAAAATTAAATTCTTCTCTTAATATTTAAATCTATATGCTTACTTTGCGCGAGCGCAGAATGTGGAAAATAAAAGATAGCAGAGTCGTTTAAACCAAGGAGAACCAACCATTTCTTTACTTAAATTAAATTCTACGGGATAATAGGGTGTGTACGCTAATAGAAAATATCCCCAAATTACACATTGAGAGAGTTTTGTGAATAGAGGCCAAAATATTGATGGCTGTTCGATTTGAATTGGTTCTTGTTCATCGTTGGTTTTGCTTGTTGTACTTGTTGGTATCACAAGCAGATTGCGTCCTTCAACAAAATCACAATAGTCTTTGAAAAAGCATAATGGTCCAACGCATATTCCATGAAAATAAAATATATAACTAAGAAACTCTATAGGAGTTGGTATGTCGATAATTTTCTGTTTTTCTTGATCGTCACTCAGTGCTAAATGTTCTTCATGTGATCGTCGCTCCTTAGAACGATAACCATCATAAAATGCAAATGCAAGTGCTGTTAATTTTTGAGTATTTATCATCAACGGTCCACTTATATCAAGTGTATAATTTCCATAATCATATATTAAACGATGAATATGAACTAGACGTGGGAACAAAAAGGATATTCTATTTGGTTTGATTTCATGCGCGAATAGTTTTACCTGCACTCATATAAATCATACAAAATATAAATATAATAAGATAGGAATGTGTCGGAGAAATCCAAAGAAGCATTAGATATACGATTGATGATTGGATAATAAGATGCCATATTTGTGCACCGAAACAGAAATGACTTAGAGCAATTCCAAGAAGGCTTGCTAAAATTAATAATGATATGTGAAGAATTTCATGCATCAAATGTTTCAAAACTCCACCCGACAGGACTGTTCTAATTATTAAGAAAATGTTTCATTAACTTTATTTTAAGTTAATCTTAACTAAACGTTCAAGCTGCGTTAGATTCTAGCGGATCGTGACAAATTTTCTATTTCGGTACTCGATCAACTCAGTGCATGTAAAAGTGTACTAGAGTCAATGGTTCACTTCGATGAGTAAAAGAAAGGAAATTTCTATCCAAGAATGTGCGTCATCCACATTATTATTTCAAAGATTATTCGATAAGATAATCATCGTACCGACTAGATGTCTTGCGAATGTATTGCTTGGCTTAGGTGGTAGAAAACGTCGAAAACACATGGCCAAAACTAATGCCAATATTTCAGAGAGAAGAAAATTAAATTGGTCAATTGGCAGACCGGCCATATCAGCAACAGGACTAAGCAAACGTGAGCCTGTATATGTTGAAACGGCTGGATTACTTGCAGGTTGATCCATAATAGTTATCTTTCTAGTATTCTTTCTTTTAGATGTTTAAGCTATTTTAGCCAATAGAAAAAGGTGACAAGACGTCTAGAAAAAAAAATGGCAATAATCATTGAGAGTCTTGCTCATATTAATTAAATTTACTACGAATTAGAAAAGCAAAGTGCAGTTTTATATCATTCGTTGTACAAGTCAAAATTATTTTCAACGCATTCTCTTTCAAGAACAATGAATGACCTACTTATATTAGAATAGAAAAATAGGTCAGACAATGTCCTTTGCGTTTGTTGATAATATCTATCATGAAATATGCCTTACACGTTACGGAGAATTCAATGAACAACAGTTGATTTATTGTTCCTATAAATAAAAGAAATGAGAAATATATATATATATATATAAGATATGAATAAATATAGACCGAAAAATCTACAAAGTGAAACTCACAAATATCATTACTCATGACAGAAGTTATTAATTGTGCACCACTCGGAATGACATCAATAATAAAATACAATAATTCATCATTCTCATAAGGTCCTACGTAGTAACGTAAAATAAAGCTATAGACTACGCGTAGCTTACATTGATTTTACCACCACGAGCTCTCCGCTCTTCTATCTAACTTGACTGACCGAGCAACAGTCTTGTCGTTATCAACGGAAAAAATAAATAACAATAATCAAATAAAAATGCTGTTAATGATAACAACAATAAGTACGTTTATTTCTCATGTTTAGATACAAGAAAAGACCAGCCGAGAGACGAAAGAAAAACGACTACACACATTCAAATACACAGAAGATAACTTTGTTATTCTCTATAAAAGAATCACCTCATTTAACTTGGGTTGCTGTTGGTTGAATTTGTTGAATTAAACTAATGTTATCACCTTTGAGTAAAATTCTTCCAATTTGTTTTGGTTCCTTTTTCTTTAATGAAACTTCTTGAGCGTCATCCAAAACAAGATTCATATATTCATCAAAACCGATAATATAGCCTTCAATACGTGTCGTTGTTTGTTCGTATAGCCAAACTTGTATACGTGATCGATTTTGTAAATACCGAAAAATTAAATTAATCGGCTGTACCATAACTTTTTGTACTTTAACGGGTTGACGTGCTGCCATTTCTAATTTTATAAATCTGAAAAAAAGTAATTAAAACTGACTTTTTTTTGCTGGTATAAGGCATTCTTTAAAACAAAAAGAACCATACAAATAAATGAAATGCTTGGCTGAGTTGATCCCAAAACACACGGCAAAGTGAATCCAATTAATTTAGTTTTAAGTTTTCACGCGTTTATACTAAACAGTAAAATCACCAATGAGACTGTAAGATACGCCTCTATTACGTACGAGAAATACATAATAGAGAATTAAAACGGATTGAAAGATGTCATTGTCGTGTTTTTACACAATTTTTAATGAAGTAGGTTTTCACGATCACGAAATTCATTGAAGGCATTCCTATGAGAGCAAAACCAAAAAAACAGTGACTGCTGAGGATGGGAAAAAGTAGCTTCTTCTTTTATAAAAATGATTTCTTAATCGTGAACGGTTGTCAATGTGTTTTTGTTACACTAATAACGGCGGATTCTCTTGCTCTGTTTCTTTACTGATTTCGTCTAGTTTCAGATATTTCTGCTTGGTTCTCATTAAATAGAATCAGGTTCATTTCTCACAGGGACGTCTTCAATGGATTTCGTGATTGAGAAAATCTATTTAATAGTATCTCATTAAAAATCGTGTAAGCACGAAAAACGATATCTTTCAATGCATTATAATTTTCTATTGTGCATTCAATGTACATGATAGATGTGTATCCTCCAGTCTAATCGATGATTTAACGGAGTAGTGCAAATGCGTGAAAATTTAAGACAAAATAAATTTAATACACTGTACAATCTGTTTGGAGTTTTCATCAACGTTCACACGAGAACTTTTACAAAAAATATTTACAATCATTAATTATACATAACAACATGCTTCTTTTCCCGTTGAACTCCCCGAACAGCAAGAAAAGAAATATTTACGAAAAAGAAAATTGCACAGCAGATATTCGCAGGATTATTTTACAGCAAAAAAAATATGCCGGCTGGATTGAATATAAAAACAAGCAAAAAAGACTAATAAAGAATCGAGATCACCTGAAATAACTAAAGGATTTCTATGTGTAGAAGCAAAAATAATATGATTCACTGTTGACATCGGTTTTACTGAGAAGACAAGCTAAAGACTCTGATGAGAATGACATTACTTATCGGCACTGAATTGTAAAATAAAGAGGGAAGCGTATAAGGTCGTTCACAACCGTATACCGAACCCATAATCGTCGACTTGGGAAAGAGCAAATGAATTTAGCTCAGTTTGCAACAGCACTTGAATTTCGATGACGACTGGAATAGTGCGGTTTAAGAAGATGAAGAATTGATTTGAGCAATTGAACCATCAGCGGATCAGAACATTCCGATGAGATTAGATCATCATTTAACTTTTGCATTGTATCATAGATTTTTTCCTCGCGAATTATTCGACCGTATCGAGCACCTTAAAAAATATATAATTATGTTTTCGCTTATGTTTTCCTCGGATACTTACGATCAGTGCTGCAAACATGATGAATAGCCCATACTGCCCATAACTGTACGACCGGTAATCGAGCACAATGAAGTAATGGTAAAAATGGCTTAAACGATCTACAGGTGAAAAATTCATAATAGAGTTATTAAGTATCGAAATATAACTACTGTAAGCATGGCGCCCATATCAAGAAATCAATTTACAAATTTACCGAAGTAAATTTCGACTACATTGGGTACAACCTTCAAATCTTATTTTCTATTAATGTTGAATAATGCTGATAGAAATTATTCTAAGTGAAGCACAACGGCAACTTATTGACGATGATATTAGAGAAATTTCTACTCGTAATGAAGCAAAACTATACTAGTAATTTCATACTGAATACTATTCATTATGCACCAACAGTTAAGCAAAAGTCTGTTTCGATTGCGAAATTCTCGAGCGATAGATGTCACCAAAATCTTGCTTTTAAAAACCGTGGTATCTCTTGAATAATGAATTTATTTTTAATTTCACATGATAGTAAGCAATATTTCAACGCTAAATAAGCATCTTATAGCGAGTATTTCTGATTTTCACTGCTGCGTTAGTGTCAGCAAAAAACAGATGTTGTCATTAGAGCCTATCAAGTCAATACGCGATCCAGACCTGGGCCAACAGTTGCTACTATCAAATTAGCATTGAATGTTTATACGACTTCAGTCAAGATACTCTCAGAGAAACGTGGGCCATTTTAACGAATGAAAATAAATAAGCACGAAAGGGCTGTGTTGTCGCTGTTGGAATGGATTTGAAAGTCTACGCTCAATACGATCTAATAAATTTTTCAACATTCTATTTCAATTTTGTTAAAGTATACCACAGAATCATGCTGCGGAATCCCAAGCGAATAGTCCTATTCAGGCGTGTTCGTACTACCTATTAAAAGAGCTCGATATCTACTTGTATGTTTTAAAGGCTAATCTCATTTGAGATCTATGCAGATATTTTACCTATACGTAACCATATTCGTATGTGGATGTTGCCATGTTACAATAGCATCTCTCATTTGTTGACAGAGTTCTACATTGATTTCATCATCAACTTGTCCATAGAGTAGATGAGCGAGAATTCCGCCAGCTGAAAATGCAACATCAATTATGGCTTCATTTATATATTTTCGCATTAATGGAATAATATCAATTGAGTAAAGATACATTTTTAAATGTGATACTTCAGCTATATTACTTAATAGACCGACAATTTTTGTTAATACTATGGTATCTGATGAAAATAAATGGAGAAGACGCTGAAATAATTGTAAACCCATTGATTGAATAAAATTTTCACAAACAATCGGATTTTCATCTGTTAAATTCCATAATAAACTTAAACAAAAACGCAATGTATCATCGCTGGTTAATTGCTGAGGATGATTTAATGTCATATCAATATCAATTTGCGTTTGTTGAGTTTCATCAGTAGGACCAATGAGTCCCTGTTGATTTTGATTAATGTGCATACTTTGTAAACGATCGACTTGTTGGTCCATTAATTGAAGTAAACGTTTTAAATTGTTTGTTGAACCTAATTCTGTACATTCGTTGATTGTCAACTTAAATATACCAAGAAAAAACATCGTTCAGAAATAAAGTTGTATAGAATGCGCGCTTATTTCATTGCGGGATCATCCAGAAGAAAACTATCACTCGTGGATCTGCTAGCATCACTTTTAGATAGTTATTTGACGAGCCTGTAGAATATTTCAAGAGCCACTGTGCCAACATAAGACCTAAGGGGATTTTTTTATACCCCACTGAACTCTGCCTAAATTCCGAATTAAAAAGAACTATTACTTTTATTCCGCTTTTGGAAGAATTTGCGATGTCTAGTTTTTTTTCATATCATATAGTTCCATTTCTAGCAAGAAAGCTCCTATTTAATCAGAAAAACGAGGGATGCGGCTAGGCGTCCATTAGTTTCGGCTCTAATTTGATATAACGAATTAAAAATTGGCCGCTCACTTACTCTTGTGGTTAACAAAGATAAGATTGCTACGCCTGGCTGTATAATAGCTAAATCCATATAATTCTGTAAATTATGCATAACTAATGTTGCTAACAAATAGAAATTAAAACGTGGTTCATGTAAAATGCGATCACTACATAATGTCAATAAACAGTTTTTTTGTAACTGAAAAACAAAATTTATAAAATAAAATAAATTGAAATTTTCGTTTTACTTGTTGTTGATTTGGAAATGTTGCCATGACATTCATTGTCGCTTGAACAATTTGTGCCAAGTATTTGACATGTATTCGTTCAGCTATTGGTGTACGTGTTAGATTATAGATACATGCGGTTGAGGCCATCTGTACCGATTGTAAATTTGAATGTATTGACATCACATGAAGTATAAGTTCAATAAGACGAGTTTGCTTTGTTGGATGATATGAACGTGTTAAAAAGAAAACATAATAAAGAATTTTTTGTACAAAACCCGATCGATCACGATAACGCAATAGCGCCTCAACGAGATAGGGTTCGTACAGGATTAAATCATTTTCTGTTATTGTTGATGTTTGTATATGTTGTAAATCGTATGTGTAATGACGATGTTTAGAGTAGCACGAATCATTCGTATCGAATATACATGATGAATACTTTTCATTTGTTAAAAATAAGCCAAGAAATTGTAGATGAGTGTGTCTTAAGAGAAATCGATGTAAGGATATTGAGGATATGGTTTTTTGACCGCTGATATCAAGATGTTTTAAACGTGGTAAACAATATTCATCGCGTAAAAATTGATTTATGTCGTTGTCATTGTCGATTCTTGAATTATTATGATCATTGAATGTATTATCGTTGCTGAGGTCTAAATATTCAAGATGTTTTAATTGATATAATATATGCATTATGGATGGACTTTGTTGCATATGAAAACAACAATTATATAGATTGAGCCATTTTAATTTCGTTGATAATTTTAATAATGAGTTGAATAATTTTATTGAGCGACACGATGATAAATCGAATGTTTCTAAGTTTTGTAATGAATCAATAATGATATCGAAACAAGGATTTTTAATATCGGTTGAACTTAAGTTTAATGATGTTAGATTTGTGAATTTCAATACTAGACGAAGATTCATTGGAATAAAATTCACTGGTGTTGTCATGGTTGACGATGAACTTGTCGAACTGAATAAATGAAAATCAACGGTTAGATTTATTTTCGGTAAGATTCCCGATGGGTAACTACGGTGTGGAAAATACTCTTAGTACAATTACGAAGCAGTGAGATGCGAATTCGAAATATTTTTATTGGTTGTTTTCATCGGAAAACTTAGAAGAACAAGAAACTACATGTCGCACACGAATAGCTTGAGGATCGTCGAGTTTTTTTAACCGACACTTTCTCTTTAACGATGATGCTGAGGTGCAAGCTAGCGTGACAGAGCGCACCGCCGATAGCAGAATCTCATTCGGATCACAGAAATTCTATTCATGTCGGACAGTGCTTGACACGGAACAAAGATGCTCAAAATTTGTATATTTTGAATAGCTCCGCTGAATTTTGTTTCCTACCGTTTTTCGTGACTAAAAATAACGATCTCAAAAATATCTGTCCCTGACGTCCTAGAATTCTTTTACAGCCTATTACGTATGTCGATCTGCTGGAAGGCAATGGCATTCAAATTTACCATTTCACCAGTGGTGACATGTCCACCAATGAATGTTTTCGTACAGCAGTTGAATGTGTAGCAGCAAAGAATTTATAATGTGACAGACTTAATGTTTTCAATCGGTCGATTGTGATTGGATGTAAATTTGAAAATATTCCATGCAATAATTTATGGTGTGAAAATTCATCCGACGAATTCGGTAGATTTCGTAATATAGGATTGTTTGTTAATGATGGCCTTCTTGATTCTGCTGGTGATCGTGGATATTTATGATGTAAAATAAATGGACCATAGATAGTGTAAATATCATCGAATTTTGAATATAATGATGGGCATATATGTTGATAAAATACTTCATTTGTCATATTTATTGTACGATTTGAATTTGAATCTTTAAAAATAATCTCTAATTCAACTATATTTGGATGTTGATTAAACAAATGACATTGCAGTCGACTTAAATATTTGATATTAATTACTAATCTTTTCAGAGATGTTGTATGCGATGAGAATAATGATAATGTAAAATCATTCAATTGATCATTTGCGACTAAATGATTAACCAGATGTTCGGTTAATATTGAATTTAATGAACAATATCCACGAAGAAAATATTCAATAAATAATCTTGGATTATTGTAGAGACTTTTACCATCGGAATTATCAATTGGTTGTATTGCTGATTCGCCGCCGGTTCGACTTGATTCGCCGCGATGATGTTTTCGCTTTTGTTCATCATTGACATTTAATTTTGCTTGTTGAATTTCTTCACAATAGACTCTATCAACATGTTCTTCAATTTGCTTTTTCCATAGGAACTGATCTGCTTTTAATAGGGATGAGAGTTTTCGTAAACAAATTATACATAATTTATCTGGAGTATCAACCATCGAATGAAGTTATACGCTTGATGGTATATGGACGACAGGGAATGCCAATGGGCTTAGAATAGAGGATTTTAAATAAATCACTCCATCAAGGAATCATATCTGAAACAAACAACGAAAAAATTTAAAGAATAATCGAACAAATTAAGTATAAGAAAAAGACGAATATTGTTTACTTTTTTTTTTATAAACTTCACTTCAAACTAAACGATAAAATATATAATGAATCATATCAAACCCGATGTAAATCAAAAAAAATGAAAAAAAAACAAAATAACAATAATTAGCTAATGATTATGACTATGACCGGTACCATCACACTCATGCTGATGACTATGATTGTCATGGGTGTATGGCGAGGAGCGAGATGTTGGATAAGGATTGAATTGAAACGGTGGCTGCTGTGGAGAATTGCCGAAGAGAGTAGGAGGTACAGGTTGAAAATATTGCTGTTGAGGAAAAGCCGGAAGTGCAGTGTTTGATGGATATTGATTGGTAGGAGGGGTGTACGCTGTTTGTTGTTGAGGAAAAGCCGGAGGTGCAGCGTTCGATGAATATTGATTGGTAGGAGGGGTGTACGCTGTTTGTTGCTGAGGGAAAACTGGAGGTGTGGCATTCGATGAGTATTGATTAGTAGGAGGATTGTAGGTTGATTGCTGTTGAGGAAACATCGGAGGTGAGAAATTCGATGAAAATTGATTTGTAGGAGCCGTATATATTGGTTGTTGTTGAGCAGGATGTGGCAATTGAACGGTGCTTGAGGTCGGCATGAAATTTGTAGGAGTAGCGGATGGTGTTATGTTAGTCGATGTATTCAGGTTCATATCACCAAAATGTCTTTAATGAAATAGGAATATAAATTAAAATTTAATACTGTGCATTTAAGCTTTATGGTACTCAGAGTTTCCTTATGTTTATTAGAAACTTGGAGAATATCCAAATTCGTTTATGCCTTCTTGACGTATGTATTATGAAACAATAGTTAAAAGTACGGGGGAAGGGAATGTGCCCCAAAACAGATATCCCCTTCTGATTAGGAATCATAACTACATCGTATTTCATAGTTTATGTCTGGAACTGTACACGTAGTATGAAAACATCAAAATAGATTAATCTTGTCTACGGATCGCTATTCTTATATGTAGTCTTGATTGATTGTGTTCGACTCTCCTATGCGATAGATGCACACTTATAGAAAAGAAAATGTTATAACTAAAACATTATTTAACCCTATTTTGAATTTCTCTTAAGAAAAATCTGTTATTAGCGTTTCCCAAGAGATGCTATAGTTGATTGTATATTACGAACATGACCTTGTATCTGGCGATACATTTTATTATAAGTCACTGAATTAGTAACTAAGACGAAATAGCTTTATTTTTAATCTAAAAATTGTTTATTCCTAATCACTGTCTATTTCGGTCAAATATGTCTTATAACTATGAACGTGATCGATAAGAAGATTAATGTCACGCTAGTGCAAAACTCTGCATGGTTGATTTTCATCAGTTTACATTACTAATGACGACGATGAATAATATTTGACAAGTCAATTCTTTACGAAATGAATTAAAATCGTTCATTGTGATTTTGAAAAAAAAATATTTGATTGATTCTATACATACGTAGCGAATTGATTAGGATCAGTAGATAAAGTTTGTTGTGTTCCAATGTTCGATGCTGCTGCTGTTGTTGTTTCACTCGTTGTATTAGTAACAATTGGAGGAGGGATAATTATATTTGGCATCGTAACTGTTAACGGTGGCATATTAACGGGTTGAAGTGTAAAGCTCAAATTACTTCCGCCAGCCATATTCGGCGGAGGTATTGAAGAGAGTAACGGAGCTTTGTCACTATTAATAACTAACGGATTTGATTTAGTAAGTGGTGGTGAATTAGCTGTTCGAATGGGGATTCGATGTAGATAACCATAGCCAATACCGCAACCTAAACTACCTTCACCACCCCAACCAATATTTGGCGTAAGACTTATTTCACGTGTTGAGTCGCCATCGCAATTGTAAACATAAAGTTTAAGTGATTTGCCTTGATTACTTTCAATTAATGCAAAAAAATCTTCAGCATCATTAAGTAATGTATCGGCTCCAATAATATAATCAGTGTCAGAACGTAGACCAGCTAATGAAGCTGGTGAATGCGGTTGAACATCAAGCACATGCCAAACATTTTCATTGGCTTTGTCAAATGATGAAAATCGAATACTTAAACCAAGTAATCCCTATAGGAAAATAGTTAATTTAAATAGAAAGGAAAATGTCAAAGTTCATTACTTGACCACCCCAATTCTCATGAGGAGTTAATTGTAATTGTCGAACTGTTTGTGCTTTACTGTTATAGACAAGTAATTCGACTGCTTTATTTATATTAGCTTTCAAAATTTCTTTAAAGTTTTCATTGTCTGTATCAAGTCGAACACCATTAATGCTGATAATGAAATCAAAATATGGTTCTAGACCAGCTTTATGTCCAGGTGAACCATTTTGAACACGTAGAACATGAAAACCTTCGGTACCACCACCTGGTATGTTTAAACTACTACCACTGAGACCCATTCTCGCAGATCTAAGATACCAATTAGAGAATTTTTTTTTTATGTCAAGAATATGGTACCAAAGAAAATTTTCACAAATACAATGTGAATCGTTGGCGAGTATGGCACTTTCATTTTCTGACCAATAAAATTCTATACTTCAAACCTTTGTCTAATTGGAAAAAAAATATATTTAAAATATTCAAAATTTACAGATAAAATACGGTAGAATTTATGTTCCCATGTTAAACATGATGTAAAGATGATTTAGTCATGTCACGTATTTGAGTGACATCTATGAAAATATCGATATACTGCTTGGTTATTCAAGATTTTTCACTCATTAATCAATATGTAGTACAGAACTCTGAGACTAATAGGATTACGCAGAACATGAGTTCAAGGATTGAAATACAAATTAGGCTTGAAGAAAGAAAAACAAAATGATAAATCGAAACGTACTTCAATCAAAAAGAAATCATATACGTATTTCAAAACTTCAAAATCACTAATTTCTTCTATATTGTAAATACTAAAAACCCATCGAATTTTTCGCCCATGAAAACAATTCATTCTTTCAATAGGTATATAGTCTATAAATCCATTTTACAGTAGCACAGCTTACTTTTCTGGTCTGGATTGCACAAGTATCTTGCATTCACGATTATCCTCTCTTAAACTCTCACGACATTCATTTTTATCAAAGTCACTAGGACTACATGCTTGTTTTTTTTCCAAAAGAAAATAAACATACAGATACATAAACTACGAACGTAAGCAGATTGTCTTGATTTTTCGAAGCACTAGACATTTACAAACTGATTTAACGCATGAAAATGCACATAAACTATATTTTTTATTTTTGTCTATTCGAAAGAAAAACAAAACAAAAACGAATAGACAGTTTTTTTTTTGAATACCACATACAACAAAAACTTTTTGACTAGTACAAATACTGTACATGACTACTGTCAAAACACGAAATCAATTTCAATCATACGCAACCCAACAATAATAAACTGCGAATTTTTTTATAAAAGTCATTTAACATATGCGTTTGATGATCTTGTTGCTGAAGCTTAACAACAGCAAAATGACTTTGTTGCATTGAATCTTTTGTATCCCCCAGTTCAAGATCTCCGGAAAGTATGTAACCATCGGACAGATCATCATCAGTTATTTGTGATGAAAGGAGAAGGCGAAAGAATCGATCTGTATACCGTTGAAATTGTCCAGTTATTTCCAAACGACCATTACCCAAACATTTCATATGGCCTCTAGAAAAAATAAACATAGTTTTATGTAATAGCGAACAAATAATTATTCATATCGTTCATAGTTACGAGTACTAATTGAACTCTCTACTCAACGCATCATCTAGTGATATAATTAAAGAAAGTTTTCTCTTACCCAATCGGAATATTCTGTAAACAATAAATTACTGCACATATTAAGTCTGTCATAGCGACGCCCTCCCACAATCTATCTTCATTTGATCTGTCTCGACTTCTTCTTGCTCTCTCTCTCGATAGTATCAGACTCATTAAAACTATTCGATCACAGCATGTTAATGTCCCTTGCTATATTTGTTCGTCTATGCACATCTTCATTAGTGATTCTAGTGAAAGATAAAAGTTGACCATCGCATTTCTAATTTTTTTTTGTTCTGCACTTATAAGTATTCACTTTTACGAGACGAATTGAATTAGCCATCGACCAGAAAATGCTCTTATATTCAGTTCTAATTCAATTAGTCTACTGCGATGCTTAAAGAAGAAAAAAAACTCATTCAATCACTGGCCAGTTTTATATAAATAAATGTTCAAAGCTGTTATTGGAAAAAAAACGTTACCAGAATCAATACTCTACTCTGCTCAACAAATGTCCTATTGTGCTTAATTGCCTGTCAATCATATGAATATGTATATTATGATATAATTCTATTTATGTATGAACCCAAAAGTTTATCATTGTCATACTTCATCAGAAATGATTTCTTTCGATTAGCATAGCTAATTACTATCGATCTTTTCAAGCTACGGAAATCATCAATAAGACGACTTGTCGCGGTGTTCAATGCTTCATTTAACTCATTCAATCGTTAGCGTTATAAATCTAGAACGTAATAACAATGTTTTATGTGCTAATGTCTACCTTCCGCATGCGTTCCTCTTCATTAACTAAAGACTCTCAAGTGTAAGAGGCAAAAAAAGAACACGATGATTTTACTTGGTGATACTTGTTCGATGGCCTTGTTGTTCGATAATTTCACATTTTGTTTTTGACCACCAAACTGTTTTTATTGTCCAGTATGAAATCAGAGCTGGTTTCGGCCAGCTTTCGTATGCATAAAGACGAATTCTTGTACGGCCTTGTTCACCAATTTCACGTAATAGTTTACGGCCGCATAAACCTCGAGTTTCTTCGTAATAGAAAGATTCAGTTAATTTCATAATTGATATACCGACTAGCCAACACTACTATTATACGCTTGTGTGTTTTGTACGATTAATAAATAGAAAAAAAAGAAGCGAAGAGAACTACTCGGTTTTTTTTCTCCTCCGACTCTCTCTCTCTCTCGTTTTTTTCTATCTCTCTTTATCTGCTCGTTCTCGTTTGTTAATAAAATAAAGAAAGACGATCCATTGAATAGTAGCTTTAGTATTTTTCTTTCTCTCCCTACGTACTCTCGCAACAAAAAAAAATGAACAGTATTTCCTCAGGCACGAGCAAGAAAGAAAAATAAGTGCTGTTCCTTGTTCATTTCAACTCAATATCGGCATTTCTCTTCTATATATCTATATATACATTCTTTTTTTATTTGAAGAATGTCAATTCTTTTTCTTTCTATTACGCTTGAAGAGAAAAAAGAATCGATTTCCTTCTATGCCAGTAGCCGATAGACAGACAACAAGTCAGACCGGCAGTATACGCTGCACTCATTGCTGATTAGCACTATACACGCAAATTCATCCAATTTCATTATGCAAACGAATAACGGACGCTGTGAATGTGCATGTCGGTCACCATGCATGTGCACACCCGCAATGGCCAACCTTTTGATATTTCATGTTAAGAGTCAATACAAGCGGTAGGCTATTCACAACATTTCTCGCATTCATCCATGGAGAATAAATAGATACATACGACATGACACGAACGTGATGCAATAACTTCTCAGGTGTTTAATTATTATTGAGAATAAAACTAGACTGTATTCATGAAAATGAGAACGCAATCTTTAATCGAGTCTATTTCAAATGAGAACATGAACGGTTGTAAATGAATGGCAATGTCTTAATTTACTTCCATTCTATTGTGCAATACAAACAAAACATGTTCAGTGGAATCATGAATTAAAAATATGTCTCCAGAGTAATGATTCAAGATTAGAGTAAAAAAAAATACATTAAATAACAGATTAACATCAAGATAAGATGATGACCCATGTAAAAAAATTTAGGGTAGAAACCAGATTAAAATCGATTGAAAAATGATTGAAAATCGATTATAATCATACACCTTTAATCGATTTTTAATCGATTCGGAATCGATTATAATCAAAAATAATCAAAGAAAACAAAATTTTCATCGATTATTCCTATTATTTTCGATTATAATCGATTTTCAATCATTTTTCAATCGATTTTAATCTGATTTCTGCCCTAAATTTTTTTACATGGGGAGTGTTATATGCGTCGGTGATTCTTTTGATTTCAATCGAAAATTTACAGCCTAATAATCATCCGTTTGTTTTTTTCTCTGCTCGAGTAATCTGCTTAAGTCTAACGATGTAAATAATCGGTGAACTTCAAACATGTTTTTTTTAAGCGACACAGTCGCTACGACTTGTCTCAGTTATAGACAAAATATTTTTCAATGTAGTGTTTGAACCTAATTCTAATGTAACTTCCTATAGAATCGGAAACGTTTGAAATGATTGAATGAATACGGATTTTCCTATTAGTTACATTTTTACGTGTGCAACAGAGCTTTGTTGAAAAAGTTTTGCCGGCATCATAGTCTTCTATGATAGAAGAAGAAAAACACCGCTGAAGTCTCCCTACTGAGTTTGGCTTTTGTATCGTATTTCAATTAGAAATTCAATAAATAATTCCATGGTCTGATGTTTTTTGAATCTCTTCTTCTAACTGTGTGAAAATAATTTTATTTTTATTGAACACAAAAAATTCAATAACTACAGGCGCAGAGCAGATTCAAACCCCCTATACTATTGTTCATCAACAATATCTTTCAGCGGCTTGTTGTTACAGGTGTTAAACCATTTTGATAAAAAAAATACTGTCAAAATGCAATATCACAGGAACAATCAACTAAGAACGCGAGCTCTTTACTCTGTATTTTCGGTTCGTTAAAGATTGAAAAGTACATGTTATTCAAGCCAAAAAGTGATTAGACACTTAGCAAGTTCATGAGCAAGTAAAATTTATTTAATTGAATTTTTTTGCCGTTTGCATGTGCGAGGAACAATCTAAATATTTTCTCATAATTTCGTAGAAAAGGAAAATGATTGGATTTTTGAGAGAGATATTAAATGTTTGCATAAAAGAAAGTGATACGGTAATAAAATTTTAATTTTGGAGATTCAAAAGGTATCACCATTCGATTGTTATTACGGAACAACAAGCGACAAATTTTATCTCCAATAAACAGTTTAGAGGCAAAAAGCGCGTAAACATTGTTCAACGTTAATTTAAGATATTAACTGGAAAAACAAAAAGATATTGGAAACTTGCGCTTCATATTTCTTCTGAGGATTAATTTTCTCAACCAACAAACTTCACAGGTTTTTATAAGCTGAATGATTGTGTATCGAAGATAAATAGTTTGCCCTTTAGAGGTCATTATACCGTCAGCATCTTCGAAAAAGTTAATCATAAAAAGAGATAATCCTCAAATTTTTACAAGATGAACTACGAATTCAACGTCTATTTATGCCTATCTTTTAATTGAAAGAAATAATAACGAAGGTTTATGTGTGTTGCCAGACGGAAAGCAATATGCTCCACACTGTCAGTGCAAAAAAGGGTCCTGTGCCATGAAAAGTTTACAATGAGAGTAACAGTGCATTAAATTTATGATCATTTTATGCCTCTTGGTTTATGACCGCATGCCATAAATGCAAGGGGGAAACGGCGGATTCCGGATTCCCAAGATTCCCGTGGGATTCCGGAAATCCCGGAATCCCATGGATTCTTAGAACTTTTATAATAACGAATGACATTCCAGAAATTCGTATTTAACCTCTATGATCTTCACTCTAGTCTCGAAAATCTCATAGAGCTCAGTGCTAAGGCTTCACTGCTTTATCAAATGACTA